ATGCCTTGTTGTGTCATTGTACTGTAATATTGCTTTTGTTTCACCATAGGTTGAAATGGTCTATTATTGACAATATCTACATTGAATCCTTGCAATACACCCCACCATGCAATTCTTTCTAAGTCCAAATATTGACATGTCAGGCACACTTTAGTCTGTACATATGCATACTAGCACTGAATCATTGCATTTCATTGTTGCCCACAGATAGAGCAGTGGCATATATCTCACCACAGAATAAGGGAAAGTGTAAGGGAATGATGGATTGGCCCCTTCAGCACTGCATAGATCATATGTACAGATATGCAAGAGAAGCAGCTGGCCCTATGTACTCTATGTTTATCGGCATGGTCATACCAAGCAACTCTGTGGACCAAGTACGTGAAGCGTTAGTCGACACCAGGAGTGCACGCTAGATACGACGACTTGTCAGCACCTTGTTGTCAAACGCACTATGCACATTCCGCGGACCGTGGCCACCCTCGTGCAGGATTACACATACCGTCAGGCGTCGACTACGATCACGATAAGTGAACATGCGTCGAATGTGAAGAGAGTAAGGATTATCCTTCGAAGAGGCATGATCATACAAGTTCACTGCCTTGAGTGAAATTTCAACTAGAACGAACATTCCAACAGCGTACCGAGCAGCGTACTTGGCTGCTCGATATTGTTGGTGAAGAAACCGCATATGTAATTTTGAGGGCGGCGCACACCCCACAAAGACGGAGCTATACAGGCATCGTACTGGAGAATGAGAACAATGCGACATCAATATAGCATGCGGAGTTGGGGTTATGCGAAGGAAAACGAGAAACTGCGCGGCGGAAGCTGGATATCTAGTCCGTATCTGACTACAGCCAGCAACGACTCGTGTTGGCGCACGTCGTCATAGTCTTATGGCGCATAGAGGTGATTTTGCTGATGCGACATGCAATGCGTTGGGCAGAGTGGACCGGGACTGACTGTGAGCTACAATTAAAGTGATTCTGACTAGGAGCGATGTAGGCGTCGCACCGTTCAAGCGCATAGGCGGTATTCATAGCCTTATACGTATTTGATCAAGGCCAAGCAGACTTCGACCGAGTGAATCTTCAATGAACAGCGCATTTCATCTTGGATGAGTCAGGTGGCAGGCTCCTCCGGAACTGAAACTGTATGGTGCGGCTGGGACGAGTGCCTTTAGCATGGCGTCAATGGACACCCGCCGATGTACGCGAAGGACTGGCCGGCCTCGACTGGAGAGGACTGCTGACTGCTGATGAGCCGAATCCGCCAGAGATACAAAAGTAGCAATCAGCACGGGCACGAGGGCGTCGAAGCGCCGTAACTATCCCGGGGAATAGTTGTGAGATCTCTGGAAGAGCAAAAGATTAAACAGGAAGCATGAGGACGGACACAATGAGCGTACGCACCTGAGTGAACCTGTCGGCGATAAGTGATAGACAACGCGAGGGCGGGGGTAAATAGTTAAAGACACACAAGTGAGTCCTCAAATCGACGAAGTCGAAAATGAGACAACATAATTCGTCCGTTGGCATCCCAGGCTCGGAAATGTCGCGTTCGTTATAGACACGCAAGCTTCAGAATTACAACATTCAGCTGAGGCGTTTGCAATGGCTGGAAGTGAAATGAGTCGTTCGTGGCGAACATGGCGACAAATGACTCATAGGCGAAAGTTACCTTGCCCAATCACGAACGCGACGTGTCATACCCAGCGAGGGTCACAGTGCACAACGCTCATGAACTCGGCAGACTCACGAAGGTCAGCAGATTCGCCGCCGCGTGTGCTGCTACACCGCACACTGGCCATCGTGACGCGATGTGTGTGCACCGGCTGAGCGACAGTCACAACAGAGCGGTAACTGCTGCAGCTTGACCGGATCTTATGACCTCGGAGGCGCACGTTCGGTGTAGACCCACAACGGTTGGTGGTGGTGGAGAACATTGTGTCTGGGCGTGATACGCGGCATAGGATTGAAGAACATGAGCCACTTTTTCGCCGGAGATGGAGCGAACGTTGAGAGTAAAGGGCCTGTAAGGCGGCGGGGATCCAGCGCTTGTCGAAGCTGTACGCCCGAGTGCCTGGTTTCGAACTGTTTCGTGCAGCCTGACGTATAAAATGGCGCGCACGCCTGCTCGGTCTTCTTCACCTTCGCCTCTCATCTCCAAGCTTCACGACTCGCCCTCATCCCCTCTCTCATGTCCAGTCCCGCCACGTCCACCCCGAGCCGCAGCTCGACCCCGTCTCTGCTCTCGGACCCTGCGAGGACGCATCTTTCGGTTCCAGGCCAGCACCACCCCTCCGGCAGTGAACAGTCCTTGAATCGAATCAAGAACGTACCCGGATACACAACTCCCGTCTTCAAGGGGAAGGAGGAGCAGCGGGCGAAGGTTCAGGCCAATGTTGCTGCAAAGGTGCGTTTTTCGCGATTCGGTCTGGATTCGCCGTGCTGTGCTCTTCGTTCTGCTGCGTCCGCATCCGACCGGAACCCGGATTGATGATCTTGATGGCTAACACTCGTTATGACCAACGTTTCGTTGCTCTTTGGTCACGCTGTTGCCCAGGGTGATTTATTGTGCGTCTCAGGACACCCCGTCATAAACCGAAGGTCATTTTCAGGGCTACATGCTTTGCGCATGAATGGGCATGATGTACGGGTGTATTCTGCTGCGTTTAGCCGTTGAAGTCGTTCAGCCTATTAGTTAAAATGCGTGCGCGCCAGCAGCCTATATGCACATGTACATTGCTGTTCGAGACTTCACGGTACTTGGAATTGTGTTTACTGACCAGCTGTCCTCTCAGGGCTTCATCCCTCGCGAGCTCGTGCCGAACGAGGTGAACTGGTTCTACAGCCACCTCGGCATCGACGACACTTATTTCCAGGCCGAGTCTATCGACGTCATCTCCGACCACATTATCGCACTCTTCGGCGCCAAGGTCCTCGCATACACTAAACATGATCCTACTACACTCGCAATTGATCTAGAAAAGGTCGACGAGAACGGTGCGACGTTCATCCACACGAGTTCTCCCGGGAAGACAGCGACGGAAGGGCCTGGTGCGACGTGTGAGAGTCGAATCGACGAGTTGTTCCTCGACAAGAGCACGCAGGACAATGCTTTCCGCCTGGAGACATATCGCTCGCAGGGCTCAATTTCGGCCACAGCGTCGCAGCAGCTGCGGTGCTACTTTGTGACAAAGTGCAATTTCCCGCTGGCTTCTGCAAGCAGTGACGGGTGAGCGATTTTGGTATACGTTTTGACTTCATTTGACTGACTACGCGAGCAGCAAGACCGATATTCGCACCGTGTCGGATCCGGTATTTTTGGAGAAAGCGAGCGAGAATACACTGGAGATCTACCAGCGTGTCATGTGGAATGTTGAGTCCCGGTATGGGCCCGTCATCGAGGTCTTCGAGGTCGAGGGAAGCCGCGAGCGCCGGCTCGTCATCGGGTACAAGATGGGCGGAACGAGCAAATTTTTCAGCGCCCTCTCCAACTTGTACCACTTCTATTCGCTTTACTCTGCCCGTAAATATGTCGGTGAGTGAACAAGGATATATCATGTTAGTGGGTGCTCACATAGCTTGACAACCATCAGAACAATTCTCGAACGGGATTACGATCATCTCGCTGTACCTCAACCCTCTTCCCAGCTCAAACGCGCCCCCAATCGAGCACTCTATCTTCCAAGTCATGAGAGAGGCGTCATTGCTGTACTGTCTACCTGACAACCCCTTCTTCTATCCGGGAGCAGATCCCAGCCGTGGCCATGCGGTGCAGGAAGCTACTTATGCGTGTAGGATTGTCCGCATCTTGCCTACGTGAAGCCTCGCTGATCCTTTTTACAACTAGACTGTGGTTGGGTGTTCGCTCAGCACTTTTGCAACCGGCTTGGGCCAGCATATCTTCAGCTTCGCAACATCTTGGACGAGTCGAACCCGTCACACGCGGAGGTGCTGAACGATATCAAGATGCGTTTCCGAGAGGAAACGTTCACCCGAGAAAGCATTGCAGAAGTGATTCATAGACATGGCGATTTGGTAATAAAGAGGCTCTTGTCCTCTCCGTCATCGTACTGATGCCTTCCTGCGTAGATTAATATGTTGTATGTCAATTTTGCCATGGTCCACTACCCACCATCGGATCAAGCATCAAACTTGATGTGCGTTGATCGGAAACATTTATGATCCTTCTGATCTAGTGCTAACACTGAAATCTAGGCCTACGCTCTCGTACCAGCGTTTACAGACCCACCTGCCGCTGTCCGATCAGGAGCTGTATGACAAGATCAGGAAAGCTGTACACAACAAGCACGAACTCCAGGTACTGGAGAGTCTCCTTATCTTCAACAAGTGCGTGCTCATACGTTGGTATCATATCAAATGACAAACTGAGTAATTAATTGATTTTTAGACATGTCCTCAAGACAAACTTCTATCAGCCGACGAAGGTTGCACTCTCTTTCCGCCTTGCGCCAGACTTCTTGCCTGAGGTAGAGTATCCAAAGAAGCCATTTGGGATGTTCTTCGTGATCGGTAAGGGAGCTCTTGCCTTGGATACACTCCATGCTGACTTGATTCGGTGTAGGTGGTGAATTCCGTGGCTTCCACATACGATTCAGGGACGTTGCTCGCGGAGGGATCCGGATTGTCATGTCTAGGAACAGGGAGTATGTGCTATTCATGTGTGTGTGATGTGTCCGTAGCTCACCCCGACTGATTGCTTTTTCAGGACATATTCTATCAACCAACGGATGCTGTAAGAGTGTCGACTTTCGTCCTGATTGATCAGAACTGATAGTTGCACAGATTTGACGAGAATTACGGTCTCGCTTCGACGCAGTCGCTCAAGAATAAGGATATTCCTGAGGGCGGTGCTAAGGGAACCATCCTGCCATCGTACGTACTTTGATTTTATCGTTTGTGCAGGTGCTCAATTTGTCGAAGTTTGGGATCGAGCCCCCGACTTTGTTTTGAGAAGTATGTCGACGTGAGTGTCCGCAATGCTCACACTATTTACCTGTGTCCAACGGAACCTATTAGGCCGTCATTGATTTGCTGATTCCCGGACGAAGCCCTGGCATCAAGGAGCAGCTTGTTGATCTCTACGGTAAAGCAGAAATTTTATTCTTTGGACCAGATGGTAAGAGTCTCTTCTATTGTCTACGGAAGTTCGCCGCTGATCGTCCGTCAGAGGGCACTGCCGACATGATGGACTGGGCAGCCTGTAAGTTCTTCCTGGTAGGAAGTCGAAGCATAAAATTCTCATGCATAACCGCGCAGTGCATGCGCGCGAGAGAGGCGCCGAGACTTGGTGGAAGTCGTTCACAACCGGGAAGAGCGCCGAGACTCTTGGTGGCATTCCGCACGACGTGTTCGGAATGACGTCGCTATCAATCCGCCAGTATGTGCTCGGGCTCTATAAACAGCTTGGCCTCCGGGAGAAAGACATCACTAAAGTTCAGACTGGCGGACCCGGTCAGTGCTTTTCTCGTTCTGCACCTTGCAGTTTATTTATTTGATCCTTTGTAATGGTCAGATGGTGATCTTGGCTCAAGTAAGTGTCGATATCCTTTATTCTCTCTTGTCAGCCAACCAGTGAGTCTTCAGACGAAATTCTTCTGAGCTCGGACAAGACGGTTGCAGTGATAGATGGTAGCGGCGTGCTCGCCGATCCTGCGGGAATCAACCGTCATGAGTTGGTCCGACTGGCGAAGCTGCGCGCTACGGTGTCACATTTCGATCGTACTAAGTTGAGCAAGGACGGTTATCTGGTTCTTGTCGAAGAGCAAGATGTCAAACTTCCATGTACGTCATTTTTGTCTGTGTACTGCTATAAGTGTGCTAACGTCGCGTGATCGTCAGCGGGAGAACTCGTGATCGACGGAACAGATTTCCGAAACAGCGCGCATTTGCGCTTCAAGGCCGACCTTTTCGTGCCGTGTGGTGGCCGGTGCGTGCAGGCTGCGAGGCGTTGTGGGGTATGCATACTCATATTCTGTGATTTCAGCCCAGAAGCTGTCAACATTTCCAACGTCGCTGCGCTCGTCGACTCAGAAGGCAAGCCCAATTTCAAGTACATCGTTGAAGGGGCAAATCTATTCCTCACTCAACAAGCACGTATCTACCTCGAGAAGCGCAAGGCTGTGCTGTTCAAGGATTCCAGTACTAACAAAGGTAAAATGAGGTCCTCAGCGATCTAAGATGGCGCCCGCTTACTAGAGCAAACAGGTGGTGTGACGAGCTCATCCCTAGAAGTTCTTGCTGGTCTGGCGCTGTCCACGGAAGAATATGTCGACTTGATGATCTTCAAGGACGGCAAGCCATCGACCTTCTACCAGAGCTATGTGAAGGATATCCAAGATAAGATCAGCGGGAATGCTGCAGCAGAGTTCCACTGCATCTGGCGCGAGCATACACGCGCGCAGGGATCCAAGCCGCGCACCATCATCTCAGACGAGCTCTCGAGTACGCTCAACAACCTGCAGGCCGAGCTGGAGAGCTCGGACTTGTATGACGATCTGGCGATGAGGAAGAACGTCATCGCTAGAGCGGTACCAAAGACGCTTGTTGAGCAGGTCGGGTTGGATACCTTGCTCACGCGACTACCAGAGCCGTATCAGCGAGCGCTGTTCTCGAGCTGGGTGGCGGCGCACTTTGTGCGTGTTCTGACTTTTCTAAAGCGTTTATAGTCTTACTGACCATGACTTCATTATTGACTAGATCTACAAGTACGGCGTCAACGGCTCTTCGGTAGACTTCTTCCACTTTGTTCGGGATTTAGCTGTATAGATCGGCAATAATGCCTCTGCGAGAGGCGAATTGGTTTTGGTGTAGTGTTTCAATTCATGCAAGAGTACAGTACGTTATAGCAGATACTAATTTCATGTACCAGAAGGACATTATATAGACGAGACAATTGGCACTACTTGCGAGTCAAGCGAACCCGGGCTGATAATGGAAACTCGTTCAGCTCATTCTGACTACACCATTTTGGAGGGCTCTTTCTTCGCAGGCGACGCATCCAATCCGCGGTGCCGAGGCAATGGCGCATTTACGCATACCTCACGAATGGTCTGTTCAGATCCAGATCCGTCTCTTCCAACCATGAGAAGGTAACTTTCGCCAGGATCATCCGATGATACCCTGGCGGCTGCAACCTAATGGCCTTGCCCGGCAACCGGAACTTACGGTCATAGATCTTCCTGGAGGACTGACCAGTTTGCTATCGACATCTTTCCTATCTTCAGGCTGGTCGAGGCGGCACCGGGCACTCCGGACGTCTCAGTTTGGACGGCCGCATACACGCAGTAGTTTCGTCTAGGCTCGAACCGGTGGCGTATGATAGAGACAGATGGCGTCAAGCAGACGATACACACATACACCACTGAAATTGCGACCGGATGGCCTCGTCTGATTCTGGAACCGCTCCACTTGTCGATACAGCACGCACAGCATATGACCCTGCCAGATTGGAGCAATGAAGGTGTTGTTGTCCACTCGAGAAAGCTGAGCAGCATGTGGTATCCCGGTACGTCGCCGAGCAATGCGAATGTCTGGAACATGGGCTTGATATTGTCCATCAACGCGATGCCCACTTCGATGGAGGCCTAGTAGTCTGAGCTGCGATCAAGCTTACTCTGCCATCCTAGATGGTGCCAATCACACGGGATTATGACCTCGAGCTTTCCCGAATTTCGGATATCATTGAAGTACTTTGCAAGACATCGCCGCAGCGCTCGTAATTTATGCATATCCAGGACTTATCTCAGATGTAGATTTCAGGATAGACATGGGTGTATGCGCCCTGAGCGACGAAAGTGATGACGAAACGAATTTACACGGTATTTACTGATTTCGAGGGAAGGAGGATCACATGGTGTCGAGTCTCCAATTCAAGGCTCGGATCGAAGCGGCAAAGAGCTGCCGAGGTTAATCCAACCACTCCAAATGCCAGAGAGAGGACTCTGGACTTGAGACAAAAGTTGGGCATGGGTAGTTCTCGTTAGGACAGTACTCTTTTGAAGTATACCAAGTCGAAACCTTGGAGCTCGTCCTGTGTCCCAGAGTTCTATGCGCACGCTATGTCCGCACTTCGGCGTCAATGATGCGCAATCATAAACGCGGTACTATACTGCGGTCCAGCAATGTATCAAAATACATCTGCGTGCGTACAGTTACATGTATATTCTTCTTCGCGGTTCCCTTTCATTCGAACGTTTACGCCGGGATGTTCAGGCACTAATCGCGCCAACTTCGTATAAGTAGGTGCCCAACAGCTTCGTCTGGATAAAAAGGAGCATGTCAGGCGCGGTAACGCATACGTTTCAGAAAACACGTTACCCCCTCGATGAAGTTCGACTTGTCCAGTTTCTCGTTCGTCGAGCTGCGTTTGCATGAGCGGGAGCCATGTGTCAAGCTTGTTGTGTACTATTAGCTACTCACTGTGCACCATCGTCACCCCTGCCCATCGGAAGCAGAAGAACGTTCACGCCCAAGCTTTCTGCGAATGTAAGGGTGACGGGGATAGAACCACCTTCACGGGTCAAATCGGGCTTTACTTTATACACCGCCTATTCAAACGATCATGATGAGTAAATACAGTCTTCATAGCGTGGAGGCGTACCTCCGTCGCTTTGATGGCAGCCTCGTAGTTCCAGTGTTTATAGTCAGACACCCAGGGTTTTCCCCCATGCAAGTTCTCGATGTTGAGTTTGTTCTTGGAGTTGAGCTTTGCAAACTCAGATTGAACGTATGAAATCACGAGCGGCTCGACCTTCTCAGGTGTCTGTGGGGGGACAAGCCTACCAAGCCCGACGGAAGTGAGTAAGGCTCATACAATATACCACTAGCGGGATACTCGCCGAATGCTGAATTTTCCAGAAACAGAAGCTGGAATGACCGTCTTGGCACCCGCGCCATAGAAAGCACCCTCGATACCGTGGAGCGAAAGGGAGGGAGAACGCATGCGGCCCATGAGTACAGTCGCCTTGTCGGAGGAGATAGCGATGCGCGCGCCCGCGGCCTCTTCAACATCCTTGATATCGTAGTCCAAGGCATCGTAGATGGATCTGAGCGATTCAAAAGTGAGTATATGCGCGCATAATGTTTCCGAATTCTCCACACTTTTCCTCTGCACTGGCAGCAGAAACCATGTCGTCCACGCCGGGCACCAAGATCGTCCCATCCGGAGCTACGAGCTTGCTCATGAGCAGGATCAGGTCAGTCATAGGTTCATGAACGGTGCGACCAAAGACACCAGAGTGCAGGTCGCGAGCGGGTCCAGACACTGTCAACTTGAAGTATGCCAGGCCGCGCAGACCGTATGTTACACACGGTGTCCGCGTATTGAGCCAGTAGTTGTCCGACTACTTGTTTGATTAGCTTCAACTGCATTCGCATTCTGCAGAGTACTCACGATGCAGACGCAGTCAACACCGCCAAACCAGCCATCCTTTCCCTTCGCAGCCTCGGAGGTGATAAGCTCATCTAAGCCTTCACTTCCGCTCTCCTCCATCCCCTCGAAGCAAAAGCACAAATTGACCGGGAGCTCAAGACCTAGCTTTTGGTGCGCCTCCAAGACGTTCAGCCAGCCAAGGATCGGCCCCTTGTCGTCTGTAGACCCACGTCCAATGAGCAGGCCCGTCTCCTTTTCTACCACCAAGGAGAAAGGCTCTGTATTCCAGCCATCGCTCTTCTCCGCCTGACGATATGAGAAGCATGTGAGATATCAGAATGCATCACGAATACTGGGCGTGCGCAGACACACACAGGCTGCACGTCGTAGTGTCCGTAAATGAGCACCGTCTTCTTCTTCGGATCGTTGCCGATCTTCCCCAAGATGGCCGGGGGTAGGGGCAAGTCCTGGCCGTCCATAACGTGCCTGCCCAAGTCGACCGACTTGGTTTGCACACCGAGGGCGCTGAGCTGGTTCTGCAGCCACGAGCCCATCTTGAAGACATCCTGGCGGTGGGCGCCGTTCCCGCTGATGCTAAAAAGATGGCCAGAGATGAACAGGAGCCAGTATTTAGACGGCTGAGGCCGCACCTGGGGATAGCTACTGCCTCCCCGAGTCGTTTGATGAAGCTGTCAACATTAGAGTCGATATAGCTGATGAATTGAGACGGCGCAGGCATGTCGGAAAGTGTTGAGTCGCAATAGGTAGAAGGCGAATAAAGAGTGCTTTGCAGACTGCAGCCTGCGGACAACGAGAGATCTAAATCTACGATATCCGTTCTCATCAGTCTTCAATGTGACGGTTGTGCATTCCCCGGCTGATCTCGAGCTTACTCTACGATGCAGTCTATGTACTTAGCATCGGACTTTGTCAAATTCCATATTGCTAAGTTTTTTAGGATCCATCTCCCAGACTCGTAGGCCGGACATGGGTGTATGTGCTCCGATCGATAACGGTAACGACAGAACACAATCTATGCTGAATACGTATGGATCCGAGTACATGCACAATAGAAAGTACTCGCTGTCGAAGGATACTGAATCAATTTCTGGCTTGAACCCATCCACAACCGCCGCAGGTTTACTGCGCCTATGAAGACATAGATCTCAAACACAATTGTCTGCCACACCACCAGGGGTTGCGCGGAATTCGGCGATGCATTGCGAGGAGCAGCGGCGGGACGTGCCTTTGATGTCGTGGTACGATACAGTGGACGCTTTCCGATACCGAATGGCAGTATGCTAAGAATTTTACCAATTGGCCTGGCGTGTTATGTGAGTGTAGTGTATCCGATCATTCTGTGAATGCAACTCATGGCATGACCACATGTTGTTCGAAACGCCGCATTTGAAGAGGGGATTGAAGCTGCTGATAAGCACCAAGTTGTCGATCGATCAAGGCACAGGTGGAAGGAGTTGTTTGAAATGGAGAGCTGGCTAATAGGGAGGGGATGCAAGAAGTGGGACATCCTAGGTTCCATATCGTAAGCAACATAGATGGGCGAGTGTCAGACGAGTCTTTGATACGCTCGGACTAGGATGGAATCGAAAAATACATGTATCAACGACTGAGATTCGTATTCACGCAATCCGGCTTCCACCTATCCAATGGTTATTGTGAATTCGATGAAGGACTACGGGTGCTTACCCCGCGTTGCTCACACCATGTCCCCCGCTCCTCTCCTCAGTAATGTCGCCATCTCCAGGACATTCAATTATGACGTTACCAGTTCGCCTCGAGAACGAACAGCATGCACAGCTCGGAAGGTGAGAACCTCGGGCCTCATCTGCAGGCTTCCTCCCCGAGGTTGAACGTTGAATGACATGGCCGTTGCGACCGAACGTGCTATTTCTCCGAATAATCGCCCGAATGCGAGTGCGGGCGCGTCGGGTTACTGAGTACTGATTGAACGCGTCGCATTCGCCGGCCCTATAAGTATGAACAGCCGTTTCCTCAATGTCCGATGCAACCATCACATTCTTTTGTGATTAATTGTGGCCTTGCCTTTGTCCTTCACACGTTGCATCTGGCACTCGACGCGAAATTCTCAATGCCCCTAGTGGACCACTCCTTGTCGAGCCGAACCTGAATGCAACGCCGCGTCTCCTCTTGGATCACAGCTCACCACTGGCCGCAAATAAGCAATGGCTCTTCCAAACTTGCTTAGAGATGAACGTTGAACCCTCAAACGCCCTCAGATGCCAGCACAGGACACAGGTGGCACAATGCGCTTCCGGCTGACAGTTGGCAGGGATATCAGGGTTATTCAGCCCACCGGTGAACGTAAATTTTGCAAGGGCAGTTCTGGTGAGAGCAGTTTAACTCTGCCTCCGCCGCGGTGCGCTGACTCAAATTCCTGAATATGTCGCTACATATCCAGCATTTCCGATCTGCATGTCTGTCATATGAAAGCAGCTGATTGCGATTCTGCATGGCGCGGGCGACCTTAGGTTTTCGAGACGGAGGTGGATGTGCCATCTGATGAAGAAGCTTCTCTGCCCACTCGTAGTCAGCCGAGAATCAAAGTGGTCGCTTTGCTGATTACTTCGAAGCACATTCGGGGGCATTCCACTGCCGACTGCTGGTATACTGTACGGAAACGAGGACATCACATAATGAAGTTATATTGGTCATTCAAGATAGTCGTCCAGATCAGTACATTTTTCTTAAGTTCATTGTTGAGTATTATTTATCATCTCGCGAGCAGCGAGTACTTGGCCGTTGAACCGCGCATGCTCCGGTTTGTTGGCTGACCAATTGCTCGAAGAAATATATATGTTATATGCCTGAGCAATTCACCGATCGCTGCTTGCGTACTCAAGCCGGGCAGGGAGCACCATAATCAGATTATGGTAGCGATACTTATTATTATCCGGTGTGTATGATGCCGCAAAAGTTAGATGCATTCCGTAGCTGCTGTCAATCGCACAAGCGAAGCAAGATTCTAGCCTCATCTATACCCCATATATGATGCCAACCAACCCGGATTTAATGAGAAGGGAGTCAGGATTCGTCCATACAGTGCTTACCAGCCCAGAAATTCCCAGCAAGTGGCTCCTCGCTGATGGCGGATTTCTTAAGCGAGTACACTGTGAGTCTGTGACTGCTGATCTCAGGTACGGACGCAAGCATGTGATATAGAGACCGAAATATGTAACGTTTGTACCACCTGCAAGGAGTGCCCTCAGCGCAAGTGGTTCTCCTGAAATAGTCCAGCTGTGGAGAGCAGATGTGGCGATGCCTACCTGCTTCCATTCGAGAAATGACAGATTGTATGCAGTAAACTGATTGTCAATGACGCGGGTATAAGGTGGCAGTAAGAAGTTTCATGACCGAATACACCTTATGTGGTGAGAAACTTTCATTATTTTGTGTCATTTATATTTACGACGCCTGACTCATTCACCATAGCACCGGAGATGATTTTATTCTCTACACTTCGCGAAGTTGTCATGCGGTGAGTGTTGGGAGACTACTGTTCAAACGTCCGCAGAGAGACTTTCACTCCTGACAGTGAAGTTTCGGTAATTTGCTGAACGAAACACTACTGTGTGCCGATGATGGTGCACTGCGCGCGTATACAGGCGGCAGATGAGATGGGGACCGGTACCGTATCGTGTTGCTTCCACCTTAGAAGCTCGGGCCGGGGACTCAACTGTCATTACGTGCACACAGTCAAATATGCGACTGCATACATTTTGTCCTGGCTCATATAAAGTCAAAGGTACTTATCGGTTCTTTGATATCGCCCTTCTACATATCCTTGTCTGATATTCCAGGGACACAACGATACACGAGCATCTATCACCATGGCCCTCGTGGAGTTGTGGAGCTCGGTGCTCATTCTAAGCACTGTCCTTTTCACATGGCAGTATCTGGAGATACGGAAGAGCAGGAATGCTCTGCGAAACATCCCTGGCTCCGCTCCCGCATCGTTTTTGAAAGGCAGGCTATCTGCTCGGACTATAGGGCAGCCAATCACTAATGCGAAACTGTAGGCAACATATCTCAGTTTTTCTCTCGCGATAGCACAGACTTTCAGCGTCACTTGGCTTTCGACTACGCCCCAGTTGCTAAGCTGTATAGCATGTTTGGCGTAAGTCTCCTCCCAAGATGCAAGCTTATTGCATTCAAATAACAACATCTACAGCGGCCAATGCTGTATGTGTCTGACCCCAAGGCATTGCACACTATCATGATCAAGGACGAGCCCTCGTTTCCGGAGCCGGCTTCGTTCATCTGGTAACTTTTACGGACTTCTGACCGCGTGCGATGTGCTAACCGCTAGTTACAGGCTCAACTACTTGCTGTTCGGGCGCGGATTGCTTGCTACTTTAGGTGCGTCAATCTGAATTAATGTGAGCGGGAGACCTCGCACTGAGAGACAAATTTCCCGGCAGGAGACAAACATCGAAGGCAGCGTAAACTCCTTAACCCTGCTTTCTCTATCAACCATATGCGTCACATTATCCCGATTTTCTACAACGTGGTGCACAAGGTATCTAATAAATGCAGTAATTCAAGAGAAGCTAATGCCCATAGTAAAAATGCTTAGCTTAGAGACGGAATTAAGAAGCAAGTGGTCAGCGGGGCTGAAGAAATTGACATGCTGAATTGGATGGGTCGCACCGCGCTAGAGTTGATTGGTCAAGGTGGGCTCGGGTACTCCTTTGATCCTCTCGTCGAGGATATGCACAACGAGTACGGCCACGCTCTAAAAACCCTGCTGTACGTGCGCACTTTCTACCCAGATCGATTTGTACTGATTGTGCCGACCATTGCATAGTCCGAACCTGGTCAAACTTCCCGTAGTACGGCTCATGCTGCCTTATCTCACCAAAATAGGGCCCCCTGCCTTCAGACGCTTCGTCATAAGCCTCGTGCCGGACAACGATGTGCAGAGAATCAAGTCCATCGTTGACACTATGGATTTCCAGTCACGGACAATATTCGAGAAGAAGAAAACCGCTCTTCTTCAAGGCGACGAAGCCATCTTGCAGCAAGTCGGAGAAGGCAAGGATATCATGAGTATTCTGAGTAGGTCCCATCTCTGTTGGTATATGATCTTCGATGAGCTGATATGTTATCAGTGCGCGCGAATGCTTCCACCTCCGAGGCCGATAGGCTTCCCGAGGACGAGATCATTGCTCAGATGTCGTGAGTATCTTGATGTTACCCTTTTCGTTACGCAGACACTCATCTTAACACGCAGAACTCTTGTCTTTGCTGCCACAGATACCACTTCAAACACCCTGTCCCGTATCTTGCAAATATTGGCAGAGCATCCTGATGTACAGGAAAAATTACGTGCTGAGCTACTGGATGTACATGCAGGGGAAGGGCTATCATATGACGACCTTGATCAGCTACCTTTACTTGATGGTGTGTGTCGGGAGACATTGCGATTGTAATTTGATTTTATTTTTGCAATTTCCACAACGTGCTGACGAACCACTTTTCCAGAAATCCTCCAGCTCAGTTCGTAACCCGTGTGTACGTTGTCCTGGTTCTAGTTACTTCCATTTGTTAAACGTTTCATCGATCAGCGCGACGCGGGACACAATTGTTCCTCTGGCCGAGCCCATTTGTGGAAATGATGGCAGCATGATCACCGAAATCCCCGTGGTTAAAGGGACGGAGGTCATTATCGGCATCCTGGGCTGTAACGCCAGCAAAGAACTTTGGGGCGAAGATGCACACGAATGGAAGCCTGAGAGGTGGCTCTCTCCCCTTCCGGGAAAGGTCACGAAGAATACGATTCCTGGTGTATATGCTAATCTGTGAGCACCACTGTTTCTCTACGTTTATCTCTGTCGGCCCAACGTTGTTCCCTAGGATGACATTCATCGGTGGCAAGAGGGCGTGCATGTACGTCTTCTTATATTTAGCTCCCAGTGTGATGTATCGCTGATTTTATCAATCAACCTAGCGGTTTCAAATTCTCTGAGATGGAGATGAGTAAGTTCATCAAACCTGACCTGATACGATGCGACTTGGTTCTGACCGATCTTGCAGAGGTTGTCTTGTCGGTGCTACTGCCTAACTTCACTTTCGAGTTGACAGACAAGCCTATTGTATGGAATGCCGCCGGCGTACGCTATCCTACGGTGGGCAGCGTAAGCAATAGGCCCCAGATGCCGCTGAAGGTGCGGTTGTATGGGGGCGTAACGGCATAGCTACGGTCTTCATGCAGAACAACAATCCCATCGCTCCTTCAAGTTCTCGTTTTGCCTTGCTTACATTCACTTGGTTCTCATGCTATTTGTGCTGCTTCTTTCTGCCATATGCATATCCGGATCTTCTGGCTATTTCAGAAAATGATACTCCATTAGCCGTGGAGGATCTGTGCGATGGTGATTGAACACAAGATACTTATGGTTACTAGAGGGCAAGAGGTGATGCAGCAGCCGTTTAAGATGTCTTGGTATTCAAATGCCGGCGGGCCTGGACATTTCACGCTGCTACCGGCAATCACGGATCATCCGTTGGTAGAGTTCTGCTTATTATAGTGGCGGGTGAAATCACTGAGACGGACAAAGGTGCACTTAAGTCCTCCATAGGTGGTCGAATATCAACAATCACATCAGAGTCGACTACTTGAAGATCTGATTTGTGTATTGCTGTCATGATGGCCTCCTACAGTGGCACTTATACTCGGCACTCTGAAGTCTCAGATCGCAATGCAGTTCATTTGACTATTTTTTTTGACTTCCGCTTGTCAACTTGATAGCATCTGCGAGATCAATTTCTTTCTAACCCAATTCCATCATAACTTGACATCATCTATAGATTCCAACACACTCCGGTCGTCGATGTTTGGCAATGGACCCACAAACCATTTCCGCGCGGAAAGAACCCACCAACACGACGCAAAAAGAAACACGGCCATGATGATCACTACCGAATAGTCTGGAGTCGCAGAACATTCAGTACGGTCTCGGGAAGCTTGAGGGGTTCTACTCACTCATTGTATCCGCATTTGCAATCTGTGCAGTCGGGAAACACAGTAGCACAACTATGAACGCAACCCAGGCAACAGCCACAGACCCTATCGGTAGATACCACTTGCCCAACGTGAACGGCCCTGGGACGAGCTTGTTCCGCCCCGATGTGATGCGTAGAAAGATCGGGGTCGCATACGACGTGTACATACCGATAACTGACGCGCTACGAGCACTCCTTTTGTTAGGCAGCATAGTATACTGAACAACCATAATCATACCTCGCAAGCGAATTCAACGCAGTAGATGAAAACCCGAGTAAGCCACAAATACCGGCGAGGAACATGACCAACCATACGGCGTTGACTGGCGTTTGGGTGCGAGGGTTTATGCGTTTCCACCAGCGTGAGCCCGGCAATGCGTTGTCTCGGGCAAAAGCAAATACAACGCGAGAGGCATCGACTCCTTGTGCTGCTCCACAGAGAAACTAGGGATACCGAATATGCTACTGTAGACATGTGAAGCGAGAACGAGACGACACACCTGAACTAGAATAGTCAAGCACCAGATGACCAGAGCGCCTTCCTTGCCTATCATGTTCAGATACACCTGACCCATTGGCAAAGAAAGCTCGGAGTTGAGAATATCAGGTACCGACGGGATAGCGAAAGATGCTGCGATGCACATTATCCAGCCAAGGGTGCCGACGGAGGCCACTGACGCGAGAATGGCTATTGGTGCTGCTCGCGCTGCACCGGAGACTTCCTCAGAGATATGCGCAGCGGAATCATCTAGAGTTGGAAGGGGGCATGAACAGCGGAACTTCGAGAGTGACATAGTCACTTACAGCCCGTGAACGTCCACATGGGTACGGTAAAGGCAAGTAGAAATGCCCATCCCTCTGTACGACAAAACGAATCATTAGATCACAATACCTGACGCTAAAGCTAGCATCACACCATTAGCCCATCCTGTGTGGTTCTCATACAATGTGAATGCATCTTTTGCTGACACTCGGTTCTCTCCAGGACAGACTAGGAGAGCTATGATCGCCCCCGCGGTTACAGCGACTGGGATCGATGAGCATAGATTCAATCGTTATAGCCAGACAGAACTCACATGTGACAAAAGCATAGAACAGGTTGAGGCGCGCAAGAACCTTCGTCGCCGCCGAGCATACAACTCCATGCATCACGAGTAGTCCGAGCATCATTCCATATGTAGGCCCCGGCCCCAAATTGATCGATCCGTCGGTCCCGATAGAAACAGCGGTCGAGATCATCTCTGCTCTGAGAAACTTTAGCATGGACACTCTATATGATGAGGTCTTGAGGTCTTACATAGTATAATCGATCGAACAGACCAAGGTTACCTGACCGGTAATGTTTGCCCAGCCAGTGATCCAGCTCGCTAATGCCGCATATCTGGGAGGTGCAAGTTTTGCTGAGAAATAGTACAACCCTGCACTCGTTCTGGCGAATTATGAGTTTAATTGCAGATGGAAATAACAGACCAGAAACACTTACGGCATGGACGACGCCAGCTCTGCCATACATGCAGCCACGCACATCACAAACCAACAAGGGATGAACCAGCCCCATACAAGGCCGACATGTCCACCTAGTATGTGAATTAACGTCGCCAAACACGTCTATGAATCCCTCACTTACCTGAGACCAACGAGATTGTCAGTGCTGAGGATATGCCTGGTATAACGGCCATGATTGAGAAGGAAAAGGCGACTGTCTCGATCATCTGTAATCAAAGAGAGCGAAATGTTAGGGTCATGAACTCAGGCAAAACACGGACGACTTACTGAAAACTCTCTCTTGAATTCGCTCTTGTAACCCAACTGAGCAAGGCGCGCATTATCTGTAACTGACTCTCTAGATTCTGTCGACGCCGTGTCATCGACGGCAAGGGCAGCAGTAACACGGACATCTTCAGACTTCTTCATGGATCGCCACTTGCGCAACAGAGGAGTGGTGAAGGCAGTGTACTTGGAGAAAGGGATGATAGACAGACGTGGGGTCAAGCTTCATTCTTCTCTGTATCCTCTTTGAGCAGGAACCCATGCAGCTCGAGAACGTGCAGAGTGCTGTCCCCGCAGGCACAGAAGTCCAGTAGAGAGATAACAAGTGACATACCATGAGAACGTTTACCGAGTCGAACGTCTGTGGTGACATGTTATCTCGACACCTCAAGGTCACAAAGAAGTTGGGGCCCTGATCGTGTGATAGGGTGTCGAGAACGTGATAGTTCAATAACTTGTCCATGCCACGACGAAAGACGAGTGAATCTACCTCCAATCGTATATGGCTTTATGGTGGGCTACGTGCACTATGCACAACTCCATTCCGTACGACTCGTTGTCGTGAATCCTAAGGAGAATCTGTGTATGCGTCAACGATTATCGCGGTGGCTGTAGTCTCGATCCAGCGCATTCATGTTCGACTTCTACAGAAGCATCATTTATCACAGAAGCTCTTCGTGGATAATGTTCCGGTTCCCTGGCAAAATGCAGAGAATAGTTATCCGGAGGCCGGCTGGTATGATTCAGAATTGGAATATATGCGGAGACAGATCAGCAATCCCTGTCCCTTGAGGGACATACATGTCTGGTCGGTCGCAATCTCGCACGATGCATCAAATGACACGACAGTCCGGGTGATGTGATACGTGGGCTGCAATTGGAGCGATCTCGGGAGACGCCTGCAGGCATTGGCGATTCCGACATCATGGCAGACGTCTTTCATCCGGATCGCATGTGACGTGTAGGGGCGGTATGCGACGTTCTCTGCTGGTATTTCAGTACTAATGATCGTATGGTAGTTGCGCCTACGCGTAATCCCAAGCCTCTAATCAATGTGTAGTTGCATGGTCATCGCACGACGCGTTTCTCTTCTAATCCAGTCCATGTGTTGGTTCTCTCTTTCCGTATCTGCAAAGCCCTCGAATGCTTTCGCCAGTCCTCAATGATGACGATTGGGTGGTTGGCTCCAAAGGCAGGTTGCTGCTCTGGGTCCCAGTTGATTTTGGAATATTATGCATTTCTCCTGGGAACATAGTGTTTCCCACTGGCTCGGGTGACCTGCTGCTTGGTATGCGTACAGAGAATGAATCGGACCAGATTGATGATCCACGTGGCGAAAAAAAGTCACAAGTCAAAGGTACACGCAAGACGAGAGCATATTAAAAGCAGATAAAGTTGTTTAGCAGCGTTCGAAAGAAAATTCGATCAGTGAGTCTGGCTTCTGCTGTGCATCGCTGCAAGTCGTCCTCGGGTTTGACTCTTCGTGTCCTGATGTGAGGGAGTTGACGCCGAACTGCTAAAATGGGGTTAAGGTTATTTGTGGTTGTACAACTTGTACTCTTATCGCGAGTTCCCTTTACCATACGACCTCCGCCAGCCTCCGCCCAACATCCGTTCCATACCATCATCTGAACTTCGCCTGTTCCACGACTGAAATTGAACTGGAATTTTTCAGAAGACCTGACCATGTTTACCAAGCACCGTACCGATAGTACCTTCGAAGCGATACCTGTAATGTGCAGTCACTACTCATATCGACGTCTTCAGCGTGATTCACTAGTCTAATTTTGCGGTTCAGCGACATCTCGAATGCAATAAGCACAGACCCTGTCGTACGCAGAGCATTAGCAGATGAGATTCGTGATGCCTGCGTGAACGTTGGCTTCTTTTATGGTGAGCATATTGTTCGTTGATATGACTATGGAAGTGCGTTACTTAGTTCTGCTCGTTGCTTCAGTGAAGAATCATACAATCCACCCTTCTACTATCTCCAGTGCAATCTCGGCCGCACGCACTTTCTTCGCGCAACCGCTGTCAGCTAAGATGCCGCTCGACATCCACAAGAGCCCCAATTTCAAAGGATACACGGCACTGCTAGGAGAGAACACGAACCCAGAAAATCGCGGAGATCTTCACGAGGGCTTCGACCTTGGCTGGGAGGACATTGACTGCTCTGACGGAAGCAGTAGCCGTCGAGAGGATGGTGCTATGTCAGGCTCGAATATCTGGCCAGAAGGACTACCTGGGTTCAGACAGGCGTGTCTGGATTACTAGTAATTCATCTCAAATTGTTCGGTGACTCGAAAGTCTCCAATGACTGATGAGTTCATTGATTTAGTCACGCGGCCGTGCATCTTGGGAAGCTTCTTTTTCCGCTATTCGCCCTTGCTCTCAATTTACCAGAAGATTTCTTTGAGGATAAGGTATGTAGCATCATTCCCCTTTTTTATTTGTGTTGATTTCCTATGGAGTGTTCGACTGAATATTGAATGGTTTCCTAGACGACGAAGCCTGCAGCAATCATGCGATTGCTTTACTACCCGCCTCAGATTGACACCACAGACGAACGCGTGGAAGGTATTGGGGCACATACGGAGTATGTGTAATAAATCCAATATTGTAACATATGACTAATCCTGCATAGCTACGAGGTCTTCTACCCTTTAACTTGATGCGATGGCGTGATGTTGACGGCGCGATTCGATTTGTGCAGTGCTTCACAATCCTATGGCAAGATGACGTACAAGCCCTGCAGGTTTTGAACAATGAGGGAAAATGGGTCGATGCTGTCCCAATTCCGGGCACGCTTGTCGTAAAGTGGGTATTGAACGTTTCCTAGCGGCGTCCGAATCTCATGTAAAGCCACAGTTTGGGTGACCAATTTGCACGATGGACGAGTAAGTTGATATGATTCCATCTCTGGTGTTATGAGATTTAGCGTCTCCCCTCAGATGATGTGTTCAAATCAACAGTACATAGGGCAATCAACCGGTCTGGGGTAGAGCGGTATTCCATTCCACTGTTCTTCGGGACAGATTATAATGTCAAGCTTGAGGTATGTTGGAGTGACTATCCGGTCACACTCGGGCTTGTACAGTTTCTCGACTCATGCTGAACTCGGTTTGGGTCTCAGGCGTTGCCAGGCTGCGTATCGGATAGCAACCCCGCGAAGTACGAAGTAGTGACAGCCGGGGACTATGTTAAGTCACGCTTGGAAGCAACCTACAATTACACGAAGTAAACGCACTTTCATGGAGATCAAGAGGTGTGCTATGACATCTATCCTTGTGCAAGTATTGGTCATCAGTTTCAACGGAACATAGAAGTATGCACGAGCGCGCATGAATATATTCGTAGACTTGCATCGAAGCCACCTCTTGAAGTTCTATGCGTGGCCGTAGTTCGTCAACTTTGGAGGCTGCGGTCCTCACCGGCTGCCAGTGACAGCGGTGATATACAACACCATCCGGCCGTGGGCTGCAAATTAGCTCACGATTTCCATATAGCTGATCTGTATCTCTCACTGGTCTGCAGTAGCCTTCTGTTTATCGAAAGAGTTGCTTTGTCATTGTCCAATACATGTACATAGTCGTAGGTTTCAAACATATCATACTGACTTTAAGTCGCCGAGCGTAGGGCATACCCAATGCGATACCAGGGCAAAGATAACCAGGGAATGGCGCGTGCCGCTAGGGTATTGAGCAATCATTTCCCATGTGGTACGCACTGGGAGGAATATCATATTCCGGGCCCTCATAGTTACCCGTGTTCAGGTATCCTGGATGACAGGGACCGTACCCTGTTCGACTGCCCTATGTGGATTCGGCCGAAGCAGGGAACAGTGCAAAATTATGCACCCGACAACCTGCGACAAGCGCAGGTGCGTCGGCGTAAGGATTACCAGTTCTTTGAGCGGGATTATAATGCCGATCACACGGTGACAAGGTTGCTGGAGGGTTGGAAACACCAAGCCCCGGCTTACCCCCCTCCCGCATTCATGGCGGACATGCAACATGTCGACCACCTCGTTCGGGAGCGTGGCGACCGAGTGGGAGGGATTACTATGAGTTGCACGCGCTTTATATTCGACCCAGTGTTTATAAATCCCGTCTGGGCTCCTGCTCCTTCGCTCATAAAATCTCAATAAATCACACAACTTCCGTATGGAACATAAGAAAAGGTCTGTCTATTCAGAATCAAGAAATTCACAATGGAGACAGAGAGAACTCTTGCACAACGGCCGGTTACACCTCATTCAGCCAATTCTGAGTCAAGATCGGCATATCGCACAAGAACTGGCCCATAATTGATTGCATGCTGTTTTGAGCACTTTTTTGAAGCTGTATCAAGTACTCCTACATATTCTCCGAGAGGGGTTTGCGGGAGAAAACATCATCTATGCTGTCTACAATATTTGGTGTTACATAGTCAGGATGGGTGGTGACAAAATTCGGACGCCGTGCGCGGCATCTCTCGGCACATGGTGGCTACGTAATTCAACGGTGGCGCTTCCCTAATCGAGTCACTTGTCAGCCTCTGTGCATGTTTGGCTTGCAGGGCTGCCGAATGATGCCGATGTGACATATTGTGACCCGAGATATAAACACTTGAACTTTTCGTACTCGTCTCACCGGAAGACATACGTAGGAGGATGTAAGACATGTAAGTTTTTTCTGAGTAGCTGGAAAGGTAGAGGAGATGTAGATGCACCTTCCTATGTAATTATTATGTGCTATTATGGAGTAGTGATTTAATAACAGGCCAAATACCGAAAACCGTGATAAAGCGCGTGCAACTCATTGTAGTGAATCCCGCGCGCTCTCGAGGTCGACGCCACCATGGTCACTTATCTGACGAGCTGTTATGGCGGTCTACATGTGCGCGCTAGAGTACGGACCCTTATAAACAAGAAGAATCAAAATAATAATAAATAAATAAAAAGACGTCGACGCCACTGCGTCTTTGTGTGCAGCCGAGTCTGTCACGCTTCGTCGTCACCGTCTCCATTATTCCGTGTAGCATGGACATAGCGCCAGGTTTCTGCGCCAATTGGCCTGATAATCAAGTCCGCAAGGCTAGCACAATGGCTGCTGCTATCGGCGTCCTAGGCGTCACGACAATTCTAGTGCGGGCGGACGTGACTTGTAGACACAGCTGAGTCGTCCGTTACCAGGCACTCCCCAGCCTTTGTACACCGACTTCCGAGTCTTCAGCACTACATGGCAGCGACAAATACCAGCTGGCATGTCGGGGGCGCCCAGTCGTTCAAGTTCGTCTCGGACGTATCGCAGGCTGTCCTTTCCCAGCATGAAGGCAGCCACTCATTCCTGGTATTCGAACTCCTTGAGGGTTCACCCACGCGGTACGTGTCTCGACCATGGACAAAATGACATTGATGACTTCATCCCACAGTAGCGTGTATCTAAATGCTTTCTTCTTCCCCGCGTATGCGGCGGTTGCGTCTGCTATTATAGCATTCGTGCACGGTCTGCTTTTACGCGTCAGGACCTCAAAGCTTCATAGTACTGGCTCTGCTGGCGTCTTACAGACTGATGATTTAGCAGAAAATAATATGTCAATAGTAGGACGCCAGGGCAGCGTGGCCATTCTTGCCTTTAATGTCGCTCGAGCCCTCGCGTGCCTCGCTTTGTTGAGCATGTCTCTGTACTCAATTATTACGATGAAACCTGCGGAAACGTATGATATCGGCTTAAGCACGATCTGGCCTTACGTTGGGCTGTGCGGAACTTTCGTGAGTATTTAAGTTCATTAGTGTAATGTTGAAGGCCGAACACCACTTTGCAGACGTACACTTTTGTAGTGGCGCTGATAACTGTGTTGGCCAAACCCGCGACAACCGCAATTGCTTGTCGTCATCTCAATGCTGTGTTATTTACGGCTTGGGTGGTATACGTGTATCGCGATGTGTGGCCCCTTGTAACGTTTACTCTGACACCCGTGGATACTGGAGAAGGGCTTATCCTGTGGGCCAAAGTCGTTACCCTCACTTTTGCAGCTGTGGTCGTCCCTTTACTGGTCCCGCGGCGTTATGTTCCTGCTAATTCTATTGTAATCGTTCCTTCTTACAGTCTGGGGAGTTTTGATTTCAACATTTTTGATTTAGGGTGCATCAATGGAGCCAGGTCCCGAACAGACCGCATCTCTGCTATCTGTGCTGCTGACCTCTTGGCTGGACAAGACCGTCATTGATGCCTATCGACTTCCTCATCTACCTGTTGACAGGTTTCCTCCGCTAGCTGATTCAGATCATTCCCAATTTGTTTCCGCGCAGGCATCTAAGGTGCCTTGGGTGATTATATCATTATATAGTGTTCTAATTTTTCACATTTCAGGAACTCGATCCGTTTCAACTGACGAACAAGGGGAGAAATATAGGATGGGGGCTGATCCGGGTATTCCGTGAGTTGATAATGCTCTTCTGACCTTGGTACGTTCTTAACCCGAATTTCTATGCCATAGCTTGGGAGATCCTCGCCATGACTCTTGCGATCACGGCCAACGTAAGTTAAGCAAGCACCAAGATTCCGTTGATGGATGCTGACAACGAATAGGCGTTTACACATTTATTCAGCCCTCTGGCAATTAAGAACCTGCTTTCGTGCGCTGTCCCCTTTGACTTCCCGCTCAGAGCGAATTGACAAGCAATCGTAGATTCATGGAAACTAGAGGTGAAGGGGCTATTGTGCGCCCGTGGATTTGGGCAATGTTATTGTTTTTGGGTCCACTCTTGCGTGCTTTGACCTTCTCAATGTACACGCTCCCCTGGGTAAATTTTCTTCCTCGTCACTTAACCAGTCTTTGTTTATAATCGGCACCAGATAACTATCACGACCCACACCGAAGCAATTCTTACCCACCTGATTTTTAATCATGCGTTACATATGCGGATGAGGGCCGAAATTTCGGAAACACAAACAACCGGGGACTCAGCGAAGGGAAAGCAGAAGTCGGGTAACACGTCGTCAGCTGACAATAACTTGAATAACGAGCAGAAGCAGAAGAATGCTACTGGAAAGATCAATAATCTCATCACTTCAGATCTTGGCGCTCTCAAGATTGTGGAGGCTCTCTTACTGATGAGTGAGTGTGGTAAAGGGCGAGTATGCTGAGTTGTTATTTATTTTACAAACATTGTTAGTATGGGGGTTTCCTTTGCAAATTATTTTGAATATCTACTTCCTCTATATCATTCTTGGATGGAGGTCAGTACATGTCATTTCATCATTGTTGTCATCGCTACAGATTTTTTTTTGTAGTGCGTTTGCTGGGTTGGCGACCATCGTTTTGCTATTCCCCGTTCCTGGGAAGATCGCAAGTTATATTGAAACTTGCCAGAAAGAGAAAATGAAACAGGTAGAGACCTCAACTTTACAGCTCCTTCTTGCCTAATGATTAACCCATGTGAGACGGATGCGCGAGTGCAGAATGTAACAGAGTGTATGTTTTGTAGAAATCTATTGTGTTGTCTTTTTGAACCATTGTCGTTCAGCTATCACGGTCATCCGCATGATCAAGATGTTTGGATGGGAATCGAAAATGATGAAACAGGTGACCGAGAAAAGAGAGCTTGAGCTGAAGTGGCTCAAGAGAAGTCGCTTGTTGGGGCTTGTCATTGTCATACTAAAGTAAGTAGTGTTTCAGGTCATAATGCGGAGCTCCTCTCACTAGCGTTACAGCCGTGTCATTCCTCTAATCACTATGATCGTGACATACTCCACTCATGTAAACATCGCACCATTTGCTGTTTTCTACCTCGACTGACTTCGTGCAGACCATAATTTTTAAGCGAGAGCTCACAGGTGAGTCTTGAAGTTAGGTATCTTTGGTTTTGATCTCAAATTTGATATAGCGTCCGCCATATTCTCGTCCATAGCGGGTATGTCTAACACAGTAATATTAAGATCAAGAGCTTACAAACTGTATAGTTTTCGAAATGACCAGCATTCAGATGCAAACGATATTCGCCGTGGTGCCCGGCTTTATTAAAGGCAAATCAATCAACACCTTTCTTTGTTCGAATTCACGTCTCTGATCTGTCTTATTAGCCAAGGTCTCGCTTGATCGTATCAATAGCTTTCTACAAGAGGTATATGTGTTGATTCTGCGATGTCTCACGTCTCACGCCATGTTTTAGACTGAGCTCCTCGATGAATTTGCGGACAGTCAGTCTGACGATGACATTGCCACTGTCTCTGCGCCTCCCTTGGACTCCGATGTAATCGGATTCCGCAACGCCGCATTCACTTGGGAAAGTAATGCGGATGGTACGTCCACGCCCGGTTCGTCGAGGCGGACGTTCTCTCTGCGTATCGAGGGCGAGTTGTTCTTCAAGCTTGGCTGCGTCAATCTCATTGTTGGGCCTACCGGTGCTGGAAAGACATCCATTCTTATGGCCTTGTTAGGTAGGATATTGCGATTCAGGCAGAATTCTGCTTATCCGCGAGTATTTAGGAGAAATGCACTACATTCCGTCAGGCTCGGACTCTTTCTTTAGTCTCCCTCGCGAGGGCGGAATCGCCTACGCTGCTCAAGAATCGTGGGTACAAAACGAAACGATCAGGGTGAGATTCGTCTGACCGTAAAAATGTTCATTCCATTGACGAGAATATACCCAGGATAACATTTTATTTGGTGCTCCTTACGATGAGGAACGCTATAAGAAAGGTATGGATCAGTAACGTTTGCATGGAGGCGACCCCTCAGAGCTTGGCCAGTCATCGATCAGTGCGGCCTAAAGCGCGATCTTGACTTGTTCGATGCTGGAGATCAAACTGAGGTAGGGGAAAGGGGGATTACACTCAGGTGCGCACTGCGATGCACGTTAGCACCTCCAATGCTGACAAAAATTACCAGTGGAGGACAGAAGGTTTAAATTTAATTTCGATTTAGGATTGCGTCTACTCATCCAGTCGCAGGCTCGTGTTACGCTGGCCCGAGCTATATATTCTCATGCGGAGATTATCTTGTTGGATGATGTGAGCGCGTATACGCCCAGAAGGGCACAGATCTGACTTGCTCTTAGGTACTTGCTGCTCTTGATGTCCATACTGCACGCTGGATTGTGAACAAATGTTTGAAGGGCGACCTAGTTCGTGGTCGGACTATACTGCTCGTGGTAAGTGTTCTGGTACAGTTCTTGTTCAAAGTGTCTCAAGTTCTGTCAGACCCACAATCTGGCTTTAACGAGTTCCATCGCGCAATTCGTTGTTGATGTGGGATCCAACGGTCAAATTGTGAGTCAGGGAACCATGTCAGAAGCACTGGAACAGGACGACACGCTCGCTGCGGAACTGGCTAAAGAAACCGAAGAGCTAGAGAAAGTTAATCAAGAGGTTGATCAAGAGAAGGAAGCTGATGCTCCTGGCAAGTCTGATGGCAAGCTCGTTGTGGCAGAAGAAATATCCGTAGGACATCTTGGGTGGTCAGCTCGTGCGTACCAATTTGTATTCATACAATATCAAATGATGACTAAGGGAAAATTAGTCAAGCCGTTCCTTGTTGCATGGGGAGGGAGCCACTTCTATGTCTACTGGATTGTAGCAATATCCTGGATGTTACTATTCGAATTAACCGACAACCTGCAACCTTGGTATCTGGGGTATTGGGCAAGACAATATGAGCATCGCCCACCTGCGGATGTCGATGCACCTTTGTGAGTGCCGGCCTTCGAAGGGTTAATTGATAACATTAAATTCCTGTTCTAGCTACTTATCTATCTACGGCGCTATTCTGCTGACTTCTGTCGTGTGCTACTGCGTGTATCTCGTCGTGTTCGTCTTTGGATCGTTGAGGGCATCACGAACGATTCACAAGAACTTGATGGCAACCTTGTTCGGAACGACGCTCAGGCAAGTTGTTTTCTATGTCATATTACGCTTACGCTTGACCACGATAACCCGAGGTTAGATGGTTTGACAGGACACCTGTTTCACGGGTCGTGGCCCGCTGCACCCAAGATATTGATGCCGGTCAGCACTTTCCCTGCTTCGTGCTCGTCTTCATGCGCTGATCCAGGCCCAGTGGATGGAAACATCCCGGATTTACTGGAGACGCTTGTCGCGATAGCCATATCCATGGTCGTGAAACTCGCCGCTATTGTTATCATGTCGCCTGTATTTTTCCTCCCGGGCATAATCCTCGTCATTATGGGCAGATGGCTCGGCAACATTTACATGAAGGCACAGCTGCCCGTCAAACGCGAGGGAAGCAATGCTCGTGCGCCAGTTTTGGGTCACTTTGGTGCAGCCTTCGCAGGTCTGGGTATGCATCCACTTCCCGTTCGCTTGTCGTACAAACTAATCTCCGGGAAGTGTCCATTCGAGCATACGGAGCTCAAGATGCCTTCAGAAAAGAGCTATCATTACGGATTGATCGCTGCACTAGAACGACCCGATTATCTTACAATTTGAATAGGTAAGCCAGCGTGATCCTTCAATCATAATGTATACTCAGCGGGAGTAGATGGGCATTTGTTCGCACGGATTCCCTTGCCTCTCTGTTTTCTGCGGGTCTTGGTGCATATCTCGTATATAGCGGAAGTGCGACAGCGTCCAATACTGGGTTCTCGTTGAGTATGGCAGGTACGTGAACTCAGATTCTCAAGACGGTGGATAGCTTGGTGGAGCTTGTATAGTCGGTTTTAGCGGCTACATCTTATTCGCCGTGCGCATGTTTAACCAATTTGAAGTGGCCGGTGCGCAATAATCACATCACCTCCATGCTTTGCAAAATGACTGATCCCTTCTTTCTTAGGCAACAGGTGTGTATAGATGCATACTGCTTTTTCACGGAGCTAATGTTCGCATCCAGTTTGGAGCGCATACAGCAGTATATGGAGATCGAGCAGGAGGACAAACCCACTGAAAGTGGTGTCCCCCCTGCCTACTGGCCCGCAAGCGGTGACTTGAAGGTCGAAAAGCTGTCTGCACGATACTCCTCGGTACGTCTTCTGTGAAATCTATAATGATATGCAGTTTTCTAATTATTGATAGGATGGGTCGCGCGTATTGGAGAATGTGTCTTTCGAGGTGAAATCTGGAGAGCGCGTTGGGATTGGTGAGCTTATTTTTAAACACGAAAATGCGCTGTAGGCTCATGAAGTCAAGTGGGACGGACTGGAAGCGGCAAGGTAGGTTGTTGTTTCCCCTCCAGATATCCTTCTTTTTCATGCAATACGACAGAGCTCGTTGACTTTGGCTCTGTTACGGTGCATTCTCACGGAAGGCAAAGTATACTACGATGGCCTCCCCACGGACGATATCAATCTAGATGCACTCAGGTCCAGCATTACAATCATTCCCCAAATTGTGAGTCCGTTTGTCGCGTCCTGGTAGTTGTCAACTCACCGGATAATGGGGCATAAAGCCCGAACTTCTGAGTGGGACGTTGCGCCAGAATCTGGATCCGTTCGGGCAATACGACGACGCAGTTCTCAACGACGCTCTCCAGTCTGCTGGTCTGTTCTCTGTGCAGAATGACTCGGACGACAGTCGCATTACTTTGGACAGCGAGATCGCAAGCGCAGGTGGAAACCTGTCTGTAGGTCAAAGGCAAATTCTTGCACTTGCAAGAGCGATCCTCAGGCAGAGTAAACTGTTGATACTGGACGAAGGTGTGTGCTGTCAGTAGACTGGCGGAATCTGACTGATGCGAGATCATGTGAATAGCAACGTCAGCCATTGGTAGGATCCGTGAGACTGGTCTCTTGCACCGATTGCTCACAACCTCTCCTTTGTCAGACTATGCGACAGACGCTGCCATCCAAGCTTCTCTTCGCAGAGAGATGAATAACGGCGTGACTATCTTGGCCGTAGCGCATCGCCTGCAAACCATCATGGACGCGGATAAGATCGTGAGTGAAAGCGCTCCTGTTTTGCGTCCACGCTTTCCTCAAAGAGACTCGTTCATTGCATTTTGAACCTCTAGATGGTTCTGGATGCTGGCCGGATCGTAAGTCGATGATTTCGATGTCAGTGTGCAGCAGGCGGCTGAATACGTTCAGGTCGAGTTCGGCAAGCCCAGTGAATTGCTTCAGAATGAAGACGGCATGCTCCGTGCGCTGGTGGAGGAGAGTGGGGACAAAGCCGGCTTGTTGGCCATGGCCGCTGGTGCTACATGAGACCGGGTCTGATGGCCTTCGGCATAAATCCCGCATTGTGCTACGCTTCGTCGATTTTCTTTCGTTATTGCTATCTCTTATTATGTGTCGTCCGACTTGATTAACGTTGGTGCAAATGCGGTGGGCCTGGGTGGTGAAACTGGTGATCGACTCTGTTGCTGCGAGCACATCCAACTCAGACCTCGGAAAACTGCCTCGTTAAGCCAAGCGATTAATCGGGCTTCAATTTTTACTGTCGCAAATCAAGCTAGTTCGGGGCGAAAGTGGACAGGCGTCCGAGCTCTACCACGTCCGGCAGGCTTGAGAGTAGCACTGTTCAACAAACGGAGTGTCTCTGCTTGACCAAAAGGGCAACCAGCGTTGTCGCGCGACACGAGTTTCCTTTGAGAGACTCTCGCCTTCGAGGCCGACCTAGACTCAAGGGCGAGAAGGAAATAGCTTCATATACACCTGGGGATAGAGGAGCCAGTAGACCGCTCTTGAAGATCGCGCCACATCCCGTTTTCGCACACCATTCGTCGTTATTACGGTCTGTATGTTGCGTCGCTGCGTCTCCGGCTGATCTCCTTGGCCCGGCACATATTCACGGAGTATCAGGAATCCGATGGGGCACCAAAATTGCGATGAAGGGCTGTCACTGAACTTCACCAGCTTGAAATGGTGGGAGACACCGCCGCGCGGCGGCTCGTACACCTAGCCCTAGGGTTAGAACATACATAAATACGATTTCCCAGTCAAGTGGCATGGACTGGTGGACTGTCGCTTCCGATCATTGACTTCATGATAATACATGCCCTGCTAGGGAGATACTATAGGCGTCTATCAAAACGTTGTCTGGCCCAATTAATGTTAGGCCGCATAGCGCTTTCCGTATACACCCTCTTGGATGGCTTTAATTTCTGTGGCATCAACGTACGACGCTCAGCGGGCGGGGTGGGTGATCATGACTTCACATTCACTCACGAAGCGCAAGATGTTTGGAATGGAATCGACAAGATGCCAAATTTCCTAGAGAGATGGGTGAATATTCTGCATCGAATGTTGGGCTGTATCCGGGTACGGGAAGAACGCACCCATCACGAGCCAGAGATTCTGAACTCCAAGCCAACGCCATACGCCCCGCACTTCACCTTCCGGAGTCAGCCTCCAGATCGGCGACATCTTGTCGCCAACTTCTGGGCTGAGCAGTTTCTTGAAAACAGATGGCGATTCGTCAAAACTGAAAAGCGCTGCTCAGCAGCCCACTTGAAATGGCGAAACCGCAAAATCGTTACCCAGTCGCGAAAAGGACCACGTCTGCACTGAGCTCGCTGCCATCTGCGAATCTAAGACCTGTTTTTGTAAAGCATTCGATTTGGCTGTCATTCTTTATTTTGACATCTCCGTCTATAATCTTCTGGCATGCACCAAAATCTGTGTAGATAAGCTGCTGTTAGCGTCCGAGATCTGCGTGGAAAACAAGACACAAGCCTATATAATAACCTCCGCCGCGGAGGTAAACCAGAGGCGCGATGCCCGTGCCGTCTATACCCATGTCGTACTTGAACCCCGCCCTCTCTAATCCCTGTAGGAGTTCCCTGCGCAATATGAAGACGATGATCATTTGATGTACAAAGAAATCTTACCTGTCCGCTTCTGCAGTTGAGGCTGTAACACGTTTGTTGATCCCGGTTTGCAAGAATATCGGCATTGAGCTGGATAGACGATCCGCAAGGTCCGTTGGTACCGTGTTTTCGCCATATATACCTAAAGACGAAGACGAATCAGCAAGTGAAGTAGTAGATGTGAACTTGCTTACCTCCAACTAATCGCGGTATTCCCTTCTCGCCTGACATGATATATGTTGGGCCTCGTTGAACAAGGGTTACATCTGACGAGGTTTGTCAAGCGGAACCATATATGGACGAATTCGTAGTAGCGTACGCACCTACCCCGTGCTCAGCATAGTCAAATGCGACATCATGGGCTGCAGAGGTTACGGGAGATGTAATAATCTCCCAAAATGAACGCGACAACGAGCGTACCAGATGTAGCAGCGCCCACGATAACCACCTTTTTCCCGATATGATCCTTACCGGATCGAAATTGAGTAGAATGTAGCACTAGGCCTTCAAATTCATCCTGAATTGTAAGTGTCAGTATGTTCCAGACAAGAACATGGTATATGAACAGACTCGTCTGGGAATCGTTGGGGTATACGGAGCCCCGCTTTGTCGCCCCATGGCCAGCACGACATGACTGACGTGGAAGTCTCGCTCGCTCCCGTCCTTCCTCTGTACCGTGACGGTCCATTTGCTGGTCGCTTCTTGTTCTACGCGCGTCACGGTGGAAGAAGTCCACACATTGAGCTCCAGTGCCTCTGCATAAAACTCAAGCCACCCTGCGAGCTAGTGATAGTTAGTGTGCATCATCTGGTAGCTCAGGCGGCCGGGAACAGTGATACCCACCTTGGGCGCGGGTGTGTACACAGGCCAGGTAGAGGGGAATCTTGGGGCACATACAACGCAGTGAACGCAAGCATCGTAAAGTAGCAATAAAAATCCTTACGGAAGATAGGGCAAGTGGTCGTACCCTACTCAAACACGGAAATTGTGGCCACACACCAATCTCAGTCGCTGAACCACTCACAAACGGGGTCATGTAGACAAAGCGCCTCGTACCGGCCCCTCCAATTGTCTCCGATCCGATCGTTCCGCTCGACCACCAAGGCAGACACGCCCAGCTGCTTCAGCCGCGCAGCAACGACGAGTCCGCCCTGGCCGCCGCCCACGATCAAGACGGTAGGATCGCCGTCCACAAACGACCTCTCGCGCTCGCGCTGACTCGTCCACTTCCCATGGTTGGGTAATGGATTACGGCGGGGTCCAATCGTCTCCGGGAACCCTTTCAGATCCTCCAGGTTGGTGAACATCGTGTATCCCTTCCATGTTCCGCTCGGTGTAGGCACAAGGCGGAAGATACCGCTCCCGACCCCGACCTGTGTCTCAAAGTCGAACATGCCCACGAGCCACACCAGGTCTGGATAGGGTCGCACAAGGCGGGCGCTGTTCAGCTCGAGCGACGTCGGGTTCATGGCCGGTAGCTGATCCTCCAAGAACGTCTTGATCTTCGCGTCCCCGTGGAACGTACGAAAGTCCCAAGTGAGCGAGAGGAAGTCGCGCCACCAGGCATCAGCAGCGAAGAGACCGGCGACTTGAGTGGCATCGCCGGAAGATACGTGCTGGGCAAACGCCTGGAACCAATCTGAGGCGACGCTCTGAGCATCAATGTCAGGCTGGACCGAGACCCCCAATCTGTCTAGCGTTGGCAATGGGAAGTCAAAGCCATCGGAGAAAGAGGACGTAGGCTGCGGGTCAGCAGCAGACATAGTGCTGGTCGGGACGAGGACTCGATGTGTAGTGCGGGGCGATAAGAGTGTGCGGCATGTAGGAATCGTGCCCTATCTAACTAGATTGTCCAATGGCAGTGTCGGGCAGTTCAAACGGCGGCGGACTGAGATGTAGTTGGATTTATAAGCTCGGAATGCCGCTCGGAGGTGCGTCGCCCAGATTGTGTGTCTATCGATTCCACACAATCTGTCGGGATGCATGAGAGAGACGCTCTCAATGGGACGTACGACAGTGCGCCGTCGTGCTGGTCTTTTCAGTGTCATTTTGAACGAGAGTAGAAAAAACTCAACGTCAACGAGAAGGTGAGGACTACTAGCCCTCGACGTTCTTGCAGGCTGTAGATCATGTCCGTTGCTCTACGAGAACCCCTCAGGGGCTCAAGCCAGAAGAGTGGCGAACGACGCAACCTCGGTCGTCGCGTTGCCTCTGCTTGATTGGCAAATCGTATGTATGGTGTACACTTAGTAGGGCTCATTGGGTGCGGGTGGTCCTCCACGGCACAGCAGAGACAGACGAAACGCACACCACTGCTGTGGAGATCCTCGAGACGCACGCTCTCCCCACCGATTCCGCATCGACGCCCCAGCCGGCAGAGGCAGAGGCAGAGGCAGCGGCAGCGGCAGCTCCGCTAGCATCTTGTACCCATGCGACGCAACATCCGCGATTCCGTGCAGGATGAGATCGGCCCAATGCTGCGACACGCACGGGAGCACTGACGCGGGAGTGCGCGGTCATCTGTGCCACACGGCTTTTCCCAGGTTAAAACTGACCGACTCGACCGGTGCTGCGTTAGCATTGCTAACAGGCCAATGTGGCTTGGCGAGATGGTCTACCAGACTGACGACACACCTGACATATCTTTGCAATGTCCGCGAGAATTATTACCGTATCTTTTCGCTCGGACACTGGCCTTGCCCGTCCCGGTTGTCTGGTGCCGCCCCAACACCGTCCATGGTTGAGTTGAATCCGCGGAGGACGCACGACAAGGCTCGTTGACTGAGAAGATGTTCAAGACTGTATGCATGAGCTCAGGCCACAGGGTTTATTTGCAGCTAGGAGTCTAGTGTGAGCTCTGTCACATCGTAGCTCTCATGTCGTGGCCGCTCTTCCAAGATGTACTTTTGCAAGAATAATGAATGGCATGCAGATTAGATTCTGACGCAGTGGCACTCAATCCGAAAGCATCCACTGTTTGGCTGACCACGCTACGATATCGGCCCCTCTTCGCATCTCCAACGGCCAACCAGATATTTGCCTTCTACCTGTATCATTGCTGAGTTCCATGCCTTGTACGTTCGAAATCACGTCGGTCACCGACGGCCAGCTGCAGCTCGCACTGCATGGTGCTCACTGGTGCAGCAGCGAAGTCTAAGAGCGTCGAGAAGATGGGTACGTATCTCACATCTCCGGGGGCCCCTGTTCATGTTCATTCAGACTGTGTTGATTTCAGGGCGACGGGACACATACTCGAAAGACAGCTCCGAACAAATCGTTAAATGTCCAAGGAAACGCATCAAGACGTCAGGAGAGTGGTCTCTGCGTCCGCGCAAGGCCCGGAGCACGAAACCAGGCAGCTTGCAGAACTGTACGGTGGAAGTGCTGTTTGATGTATCATTCTATGTCGGCCGCAGACATTGACGCCTGATCTGCCTCAATATCACTGTCGCTAGATTTACTCGTACCTTGACGTGGGCACATTGATCGCTCTGACGCGGGTCAACAAATCGTTTCGCAGCTCGCTTTTGTGTCGTAGAACTGCAGTCGTCAACTTCTGGCGGGTGGCCTTGGGGAGAGTTTCTGGGTTGCCAGAGTGCCCTCCTGATGTGTCCGAGCCGCGTTGGGCAAACCTCATTTTTGGTGAAGAAATATGCCAGGTGCATGTGTGCGTACATGTCGCAGGGGAGTCATAGCGTAGATGTGTGCATGATAGTGTTGGTGGACACGCGAAGCGCCGCTCGCGATGGCCGATTGTGCGAAGCGACAGCGGGTCTGCACGAGCTGCGTGCGAGAAAATTGAGCCTCGGTGCTGTTGTATCCACTGTCCTGGCTACAGCTTGTGGTATGTCTTTACAGCTACATCACCTCCGAGACGTTTAGTCGACGCTTTTCGACATACAATAGCGTCCGCGTACTCGATTTCCTCCCATATTTGATCCGGTGAGTGTCGTTTGTGTGTCGGGAGATGTATTTTTTTTGACGTCGCTAAAGGCGCAGATGATAGATGGTACTGGGTACTGGATGTCCGTGCGGTAGTTTTACGATCTGCAGCCCTTCTACGTAACCCAGAAGGCGATCCAACCAGAGAAATAGAAGACTTGGAAGACACGTGTACTGCGCATACTACAACCATTATGAAGGTACTCTCGCTTTGTGTCCGTTGTCGATGGCTGAAGCTTATTGTGGGCGGAAAATCGCAGCATTGCCCAGGACTGCGAAGCATGGTTTATGCAAGATGCTCGATCCGAAGCGTGCGAGACGTCCATTGATTCTGTGTGTTTCTGGCTGAATCCTATTCCTCAGTGTTGTCCAGAGATTTGAGGAGATAGGATACGACCGACGCTACATGGGCCACCTCCGACATTGCGAGGAGACTGCGCCCGAAAAGCTGCTCACTGCTCGCTCTCAGTTTTGTCTCCTATCACCCGCTAACCTGACTCACCGTCCACGCAGCATGGAAAATCATCAAATGCAAGTTATTGCCTTTGATATTCAAGTGCCGAGAGAGTGAACGGCAGAGAAGCGTCTCGATGTTGAACGACGTGGTGGTGCGCTGTTATAGGCACGATGTTCTACAGCAGAAAGGGCCAAGCTTCCCCCTGTTTCTGTGGTTTTTCACATGCCGGACGTTGTTTCTGCAGTGAACGAGCACGCGGACAAATTCCTCTTCCAATTTAACACATACCGTTTGGACCATAACCCCCGACCGCCCGCGGCTCGCAAGATGCCCTTAGGCAAGGATCATTGCGTGTTTCTGCTGCGCCCTCGCGCAGCGATAAGTACGCGAATCATTCCCTTTTCATTGGGCCTGTGAACATCGACACAGCCATCTTTCGGTGCGCGTCACGAGCGTGTGCGGGTGAGCTCCTCCACGGCTTCGCTGCTGAAGTGTCGCGCCACGCCTGCACAGGCCGTGCTCGATTGCGAGAAGGCGGCCAATTCCTGTGGTGTAAACGTGAAGATTGTGGCAAAGATGTTCGCCATCTCCGAGCGTGGCACAACCCCCATTGTCCAGCTACTCGCCAGTCGGGGAAAATCAACCTTGCATCCAATGGCTGGAGCGCCGGGACAGCTCGACGAGTGAAACGACCTGGATGGTCGGTTCTTGTGCCTGCATTGCGATGCGGTGAGGGACGGCTTCCACGTGTACGCTACCCGTTGCTCTAGCCCAGTGACGCCGCCCTCACCGCTATGCAGGGGTGGCGCGACACTTCAGCGAAGCCGTGGAGGAGCTCACCCGCACACGCTCGTGACGTGCACCGAAAGATGGCTGTGTCGATGTCCACAGGCTCAATACGTGGAGTCGGATTACCTCAGCCCCGACGTGCAACCGGTTCCCGCGAGGCAGCTGTTCCAGCTCAAGACGCGCGAGAAGCTCGATCCTTTGTTGAATTTGGCCATGTGGGGTTGCCAGGTGTGCTCGCTATGTATGTATACGTACACAAGCACGCACGCAGACGTTGTGCGGCGTCCTGAAAGTTCTGTTCGTACTTCGATGCTCGTGTTTATTCGCAGCTGACGCGTGTGGGCCTACAGACACGGCATCCGACATCCAAGGGAAGGACCGGATTTCTTCTACAGGTCTCCTTCGACACGCCCTGCGCGCAGCCAGGCTTTGGGTTCGGCTCGTACGAGGAAACCAGCCACACGCGCGCTGCGCTCTTGACGGTCAGAGTCATCGACGCACTGACGGAACATGCACCACGGTAAATCCCACTTGGGGTCACCTTCGAAATTGCGACGAGATTATGGCTGAGAAACTGCTACTCATTACCCGTTGATAGTTTCTTCTCCTACAGATTGATTCTGGTTCAGTTTATTGGTTGGAAAACAACGAGATGCAATCTGCAGTGGCTTCCATAGTCAGGTGCATAGAGTATGACATCACAGTGCAATAAAATAGTCAGAACTCGCTGTAAAAGTCGAGTTTTCTAAGGCACAGAAATGCTCAAGCTTTCCCAAGGGAAGGTGTCATTGCATCGCGAGAATATCATATGTCGGATACTATACTCACTGGTAGTACCACACACTTCAATTTAGATTTGGGCAAACAGTGGGCGTGGCGCAGACCAGTGACGCGGCTGCGCCCCACGTGCACGAGCCCCGGCGCGACGGTCCTCGGCCATGGTCCAAGTTGAACGGGCAAGCGATATCCTGCGGCAAGCACGATGTTCCATCAGAGCTAACTTACTCATAGAGGCTAAGCGGAAAAGGGTTTTTTTCCCTTCATACTTCATGAAAGATCGTGGTGAGTATCCTAGTCACCCATCACCCGTCATTTCAACTTGAAGGCACATTACTTATGTCGTATAGCTCCCGGTTGTTACAGACGCTTAGAGCCCGAGTGGTTTAAATAGTCGCCTACAGGGAACGAATGACGTTCATTTCGAAATAGTATGATGGCAAAGGGTCGTATATTCCGCGTGGTGGTTAAATTTATCGTCAGTCCAACTTTACATCAATGCACCCTTCAGGTAGAAACCTTATGGCAGCGCCTAACCATCCATTATAAACATTCACCCCTCTGACAGCTTTCGTTTTCCTGTTCCCACAGGTGTCCGTTGTGCAAGCTGTTGTATTTTTCCCACATTGGATTCATTCACTGATCACAAGCATCTGCAAGTCCATTCGATCTCGATCCGCTTGAGCTGCTCGATGCACGATGGGACCCGGTTTATCTGGCGTGGTCACGATCACCAATACTCACTATGGCAATCGGGTGAAGATGCGCAACAACAATGACGCTGAACCGTTGATATGTGTCGTTCCCAACTTACCTGAGGTTCCCAAAGCAGAGCTAGTGCAGTACCCTCCAGTTTTCTCGCATGATATTGTAATGACCACGCTGGAATGTAGTGGAGACTGATACCTAGCACCAACAATCGTTATCAAATCAAGAACTTGGAGTTTGGGTACACCGCATCTACTTCACCTGTAGCCAAGGTCGATACACATGTAGATGGATCCGATAGGGAGTACTGGTGGGTTGTAGAGAAAGCAGAAGAGAAGTTTGGACCGGATGCTTACTTGTACGCTGCACATTTTATGTCAATCGCTAGTAAGTATTGACACCTAATGCCTCAACTAGTATCCAACATAGAAAGCTTTGTTGGCATCTCATTGATGAGTCCAATGAGACTCCGGTAAGCTATATACCTTCATGGCGCCCTCTCGGTATAGTTGATGAAATTAAAACTAGATTGAGCTTCAGACTTTGTCTATGGATCGTCGAAGCGTTTGGAAGGTAGGATGTCCTGTGTTTCTCGTACTTGCATGGCTCACGCTTTGACAGATTGAGCGATATATGGATCCTGATGCGAGAAATCACACAAGTGATGGAGAGCGTTTACCTGAGACGACGACTGCAGATATTTCGGCATTTCCGACCTCGTCGCTCAAGGCATTAGTGGATTTCAACTCTGCAATTGATGCAGGTATTGATGCAAGTATAGAGGTACAACCACTCATATATAAGGCGTTGCTACTGAGTCTCATCATCAGCCAAGACTATGCCAGCCTTCAGCATCGTCAAGTGTGCATCTGAGGTTGGCCATCGATGTATTCTTCGCATCCAAGTGAAGGTTGATGACACTTAGACAGATGCTTTTGAATCACGGCCATCGGTATAAAGAACTGTTCGATCTGCTCAAGTTTATAGCAAATATATACGGTGAACTGGTGACTGAAAAGGAATTGCTTAGTAACTTCCCTACAGAGGCGACACTAGTCGTAGAGAAGTTAGCACGACAACTACTGGAATGTGCTGACTTCATAACCCATTATTCGGAGAAAATCGTGTTCTGTGAGTTAACCGCAGAGATGTTTAATTTGGCAGTTTTTAATTCTGCTACACAGGAACTGAATTAGGCAAGGACATTGATCGTGAAACTCGCATGACCATGGAGCGCTATCAAGAGAATTTCGACGGTTTCATGCAACAGATCCACAGTCGTACGTTCAATGAGATATCGTCCCCCATCTACAGAGGGGGTACGTAAGATATGTTCGATATTTTGACCATTTGTGACGTTTCACTGCTATAATATAGCTCTGGATGTCGACTTCAGCGGCTTGGAGTTTGCAACTGGAACCGGACTCAATTATGACAAACAGTGTCTCCTTGGTACTCGAAAGGAAATCATCTCCGAAGTCCAAGGCTGGATTCTGACTGCGGCAGATAATGCGAAAAAGGTTTTCTGGTTGTATGGAATAGCTGGGAGGGGCAAGTCGGCGATCGCGCACACTATAGCCCGCTGGGCAAATGAGCGCGGAAGCCTCGGGTCTTGTTTTTGTTTCGATCGCACGCGACGGGAAGATCATTACATCAAGATACTTAACACCATCGCGAAGGACTTGGCTCATTACAATCCTCTCGTACGCCGGGAGTTGGCGCGCACTCTACATGAAGAGAACGAGCTTCGACATACAAGAGACCTCACGCAACAATGGACGAAGCTGATCATAGATCCACTCAGAGCAGCGTCAAAAGCCACTCGCACCCCTGTTTTGATCGTCATCGACGCTCTGGATGAGAGCGGCGCGGAGGATACTCGTAGGCTGCTGCTTCAACTGATATCCGGAAAGCAAACTGGATCCCCAGACCCTGCCACTGAGCTTCCGCACAATATCCGCATACTCATCACTTCACGTCCACTTCCCGACATCCTCAGTGCTCTTCATGATCAGCAGCGCGTTCATCACGTTTCCTTGGATGATGTCGCGTCAGAATCCACTGGACGTGATGTGGAGCAGTATGTCGCTGCAAAACTGAGAGATTTGGACGACTTTGATATAAAAGACTACGCGGCGCTGGCACACAAGTCGGACGGTGTTTTCGAATGGGCTCGTCTTTCCTGTGAGTATATTGCGCGCAGATCATTCATAGGGCCGAACCATAGAAGCCGCTACGATGCTGTGATCACGGGAGAATCTGCCACGAGACACCTGCTGGATCACATGTATGTTCTCATCCTGACGGAAGCTATGCCAAGAGAGGAGCGTATGAATGCTCTTCGTGTGTTTCGCTCTGTGATGGGACAAGTCCTTGCGTTATTGGAACCGCTCTCGAGGGCCTCGCTACGGCGCTTTTCGGTGAAGGACGGCGGTGATGTGGATTTCTTAATCTGCTCTCTCGGAGCGTTGCTCACTGGCGTCACCGATGACCAAATACCTATCAAGCCACTGCATGCATCTTTTTACGATTTTCTGATGGACAAAAGCCGGAGTGGAGAATTCTTCATTGAAGTTTCAGCGGTGCATCACCAAAATATGGCCTTTGCCTCGCTCCGCGTCATGAAAGACGAGCTGCGCTTCAACATCTGCCATCTGGAGAACTCCTACCTACCGAATTCAGCTGTGACCTATCTAGAGGAACGCGTGAAGAGATGCATCTCACCCGAGTTGCAATACTCCTGCCACTTTTGGACTTTTCATGTCAAGGTAGCAAAGCATGATCCCTCACTCGCAAGAGAGATCGAGTACTTCCTCACCACCGAGCGCGTGCTCTTCTACCTCGAGGTACTGAGTCTCACCCATAGTCTTGGTGGTACAGCACGAGCATTATCTTCGATCATACCCTGGTTTAAGGTTTGTTGACCTTCCGATCCATGAGTGTTGATCCAGAATAACGCCTTCATTACAGGATCATGAAATCGCGCGGGCCAGGCAAACTATTGCGGATATTCAACAGTTCGTCGAGACATTTACGGCTACAATACTGCAAAGCACACCACATCTTTACCTTTCGGCTCTCCCATCTGCCCCAACTTCATCTGTGATGTTTCAAAAATTTTCTGCCAGGTTTCCTGGAGGAATCAAGAATGTCGCTGGATCAATGACTATATGGCCATCCATGCAAGAACTGATCTATGAGCATATGCGCTACGTCGCGTGTGTCACAATCTCGCACGATGGGCGGCGAATCGTGTCCGGTTCGTATGACTGCACCATCCGAGTGTGGGACACGGACACGGGCAAGCAACTGGGCAAGCCTCTCGAGGGCCATACGGACTCGGTCACATCTGTCGCAATCTCGCACGACGGCCGGCGGGTCGTGTCTGATTCGGATGACGGGACCATTCGAACATGGAATACGACTAGCGGTAAATCTCTATCCCATGGCGGTCCTTGGAGATACACTCACCAGCCTGAGTGTGTAGGAGTTACGACCTCACTAGATACACAGATAAGGCCATTTGGGGCACCAACCTTTGCTAGGACCGATAGTTTTACATCAAATACAACCCAATCTGTGAGCACGAATGTGGAGGCTGTAGGCGTACAGACATCAGTCACTTCACGTATGCTGAATGATGTCCGCAAGATGGTGGGCTGGAGGCAAAAGTAAGTATCTGAATTGATTCAGCAGTGGCCGGTTGGAGATTTAAACTATCATAGACAGAAGCTGAGTGAGCAAATGGCATGCACTTGCGACCCATACAATTCAGATCAGAGCACAAACATCAATGTCGACGCTCTGCACGATCGCCCGATATGCTACTCGTCAAATCCGGCTCATGCTTTAAAGATTCCGACGACGTTCTGGGGCAACTCTGCGCCATCTTCCCTTCTACCGGATGAAGAGGGCTGGGTCGTTGGCCCTGAAGGTCAGCTACTTTTCTGGGTCCCGATCGAGCTCATGGACCCGTCGCGGATGTATGCCCCGGGGAACGCTTTGGTGATCCCGAATGATGGCTTACAGCTGGACCTGAGTCGGTTCACACATGGAGAAGCCTGGCATCAATGTTATAACCCTGACAGAGAGTAATTGTAAGCAATTTATGTTGTGGATAGGTAGTGCGTAGTTGATCGTCGTCATGTATTGTCGCTATATACATATTCCTATGGTGCTGTTCGACTCGAGACCTGGTTGTAGTTATGTAAAGTCCCCGTTCCGCGGCGGATGGAGGCGCATGGGGCACACATCGATCACTTCAGCGCGACAATCGAGTGCCCTCCCTGTATTACATAGTCTTATTCCGGAAAATGCACGAGTGCAGTGTGTTGACTCCCAGCACCGCGAGGCGGCATCAATATTAATAGACAGATACTGAGGAGACTAAGACTTGGACCCAGCGGCAGTTGCTCGGAGCAACTACCGCGAGTTCATTGCTTCGCTGAGAAGTTTGTCAAAATTGGATAGATCAGCTCATTCATAGCGGTCTGGCGGTCGGTTCCTAGGACCACCGGCGACTCACTTTCCAACCTTGATCAGCAAGACGGGGGTTCGTCTGCCTGCATTGCGACGCAGTGGACGACGATGTCACTGGAGACCAGCCTACACGTGGAGGGAGTATGTAGGTGGGCAACTCACATATCAAGCGTATCATTCGTCTTGAGTGCATGGCTTTGTCACTAGGTCGCGTACTACGTCCAGTCGGAATACCGATTGGGGGTGCCTTGCCAGACAACACTCTCAGACTCTAAAGTCAGAAATTGCGAGGGGCGCGAACCCTCGTTCGACTTGTGAGCGTGGGGTCGCAATTGGTGCTTCTCAAATATGCCTGTAATCGCACACGCAGCGACTTTGCTGCATCCGGATACTGTATTTGTGTCTCGATGCTCGTGTTGTGTTGCAGATGACGCGCGTTGGCGTTTGGAAACAAAGAGCTCGAGACTGCGCACCCAAAGTTGACATATAGTACCATATCTGGTAGCAGGGCAGACATCTTAGTGAGATGGTATACCCATTTTCCACATATTGTTCGGGAACTCATGTAGCATTAATGTCTGTGGCTAATGGGACATGGCATTACCAGGAAGCCAACTGTGAATCAATTGCCGAGGTCGCTAGGAGAGATTGCGATTGGGAAGGGCAAAGTGGCGATGTAAGTTGTGCTACTAGCAGAAGCTAGGGCCAGCGAGAAAAGATAAGCTCCTCTCTCGGCACGCTCGATGGCGTAAAATACTCGTCCCAAGTCGCACTCGGATCCGTGCAGAGTAGTGTACGAATGAGAGGAGGTTGAAAATGCCACAGCAAGAGGGCGACTAGGGGGAGGAAGAGGAGCCGAGATGGACGTCGGTGGGAGAGATATAAAACCCAGACGTGAAACTTGGAACAGGGTGCCCGCCCGCCCGCCGAGTGACTCAGCCATGAACGGTCTCACTGGCACCATCCGCGAGTCCGCCCGCCGTCCGTCTCCTCTCCGTCCCAACTCGTCCTTTTCGTTTGAGAACCCCATCGCCCCGTCCGACATGAGCGTCCACCCCGTCATCCACGAAGGCCGCGTCGCAGTCATCACCGGCGCCGCCAGCGGCATCGGGCGCGCCGCCGCCGTCGAGCTCGCAAAGTACGTCCCCCGCAGATCGTCGTCCATCGCCTCCGTCCATTCCCCTCCCACGTCCCCCTCTCACCCCCTCTCGCCTCAATCGCAGGATCGGCCTCAAAATCGCCATCGCAGACGTCTCTGCCGACGCCCTCCGCGAGACCGGCGTCGAGGTCGCCAAGATCGTCGGCGACGCCAACGTCCTCGTCGTCCCCACCGATGTCAGCAAACTCGACGACGTCGTCCGCCTCCGCGACCGCGTCTATGAGGCGTGGGGCGAGGTGAGCCTGCGCGTCCCAGCCCCGCGCCGCGCCGAGCCCGCGTCCGCCGTCGTGTCCGACTCACCTCTCCTGTCTAGGTCGGCGTCCTCATGAACAACGCCGGCATCGGCCCCACCGGCACATCCTGGGAGGGCCTCGATGCCTGGCACAACATCTTTGACGTGAACCTCTGGGGGTGCGTCTGCCAGCCACCATCCGCATTCGTCGTTGACCCGTCGCACAGCGTCCTCCACGTCCAGCAGACATTCGTGCCCTCGATGCTGCACCAGGAGAACCCCGCGGTCATCATCAACACCGGCTCCAAGCAGGGCATCACCAATCCGCCGTACGTCTCCTGCGCCTCGTACCCAGCGTACCGCCCCGGTCTGACTCGCGCGACTGCAGCGGAAACGCAGCGTACAACGCGTCCAAGGCGGCGGTCAAGTCGCTCACAGAGGGACTCGCGCACGAGCTCCGCAACGTCCCGCAGGCCAGCCTCACTGCCCATTTGCTCATGTGCGCCCCCGCCCGCTCTATCCTGTGCTCATGTGCTCATCACGCTCGCGACGTTGCAGCCCTGGGTGGGTGTGGACTGGCCTCACAGGCGCAAAGAACGGCGGCGAGAAGCCTCCCGGCGCATGGACTCCGCAAGAGACGGTGTTGTACATGGTGTGTTTCTCTTTTTCTCTTTTTCATGCACTCGCTCCGAGCTCGGTCCTTGCCCAAGGATGGGGCTGACGTCACGAGCGCCCGTATGGCACCGTCACAGCTATCGTCACGTCACACTCCATCCCCGACGCCATCACGCTGACGCCCATTCACGCAGCTCGACCACGTCCGCCAAGGCACGTTCTACATCCTGTGCCCGGACAACGAGACCCGGCGCGAGGTCGACCAGCTCCGCATCATGTGGACCGCGGGCGACGTTGCCGAGGGCCGTCCCGCCCTCAGCCGCTGGCACCGCGACTACAAGGCGCTCTTCGAGGAGTACCTCCGCGACGGGCTTGCCCAGCTCGACTGAGCGCCGCGCTGTCGGTGGTGGAAATAGTGTGCGGAGAATTGCAGCAGAAGGTATAGAAATCCGGTGGGAGGTCGGACGAGCGGAGAAGACGTACGTGTGCTCTCCCCGTATGTATGTATTTCTAGATGGTCCCAGAAACTGGAGCCAACCCGGACTATGGTGTTTGTCTCGGAAACGCTTGATCGACGGGAGTGTGTCTGTCAGAGCGGACTGGCGACTGGTAGCGCGTCTTTAAGCTGGACTCGTTCAGTAGCGCCCTGAACTGGCGTGCTCAAGGACAGACTCTAGGTGCGACTTGTGTACGGTGCTATCGTGTACTGAGTAAAGTCTTGTCAGTTTAGGAGCAATTGCCTGAGGGTCAGTTTTGTCTCGCGGGGCTCGATCCGTACACTCAGATAGCCTAGCTACTCCCCAGACCACGCTTAAGAAAGGCCTACTTGGCCAAGCAGTGGTATTACTGGTCTCTTCTCCTTCCCATACAAACCTTCACTAAGATTGTCCTGGGAGATCCAGGATACTGCGTCTTGATCGTACTGCGCATGTCTGCTCTAGAGGCGTATCTGACATCGTCGTCCCCAGCGGTCGGTCTCGAACAGAGCGAGCGGTCAGCGCTTCAGCCCCTTGTCGACATCTGTTCTGTCCCCAACCTTTCGGTGAACCATCCAACGCACCGTGCATAGTCCTTGTCCTCATGATCCGCCTTGTGTGAGACGGTCTCACTGCATAATTGCAGCTGCTATTCGTGTGCTACACGGTGTCGAGACCAAGGTGACGACCGGTAGGTAAGGGCGTGGTTCTCCCCTCTCAATTGCTTCGTCGTTGTACACAATCATTTGGCTGTGCGCGTAGTTCTGGAGAAAGACACGGAGAAGATTTCACCATCCTTAGTGAGAGCTGCACACCCGCGTATCTCGGCCGATCATCGAGTGCTTCTCAGCCTCTCCGCAGGGCCCTCATGAGGTCAGGCATCCGACCTTCGCTCTTGCAGGCTTCGGATACCCGCCGCATCCGGCGTGAAAATCTGCACAAATACGGAGAAGCTGCGAATGAGGCAAAGTGGGCTCATCATGCTGTCGGTGACTGATGCCAGTCGTGTGACGGCGGTTTGTGTATCGGCCGCATTCCGGGTCGTGCGCAGTGTGCATGCTGGCACTCGACGTCGAACTCTATCCGTGATGCGAATAATCTGCCAGTGCCAGTCTGCCAGATACGTTGCGCATGTAAACACTTGATGCCAATCCCATGTGCCCGCTCAGCACTGCCGAGTGTCAGGCTGAGCGATGCCCATGAGTCGGCTTCAAGCCAACGGTTGCTTGGCTACCGTATTGCATGCAACAAGTTGTGAGCATCGCACAATATATGGGATCATGATAGGTTGGCCCAGTACAGAGACAGGTACGTCTAGAGAATAAAGGTTTTTCATTGCTTCCCTCTCTACACCCTCACGCTTAGCGTGGTCTCAGGCATCCATTGAGAAGATAGCTGGCTCTGGCGCGTTACGCAGTCGAAGCCAAGGTTGTGGGTGGATATAATCCTTTCCGTCTTCTGAGTTTTAAACACCATGCCTGCCAACCATGGTCGACCAACAAAATACATGGGAACTCACATATCCTGCACATGTTTCCAGACATCCAATGGCGCGTTTTCCCGGACCTTTACGACGCAAACAGCTCCGATCACGATCATCTTGCGATACGTCGCTGGTCGCCTTGTTGGGCTTGAGAATATTATCGGGATTGATGCGCCGCTACTTAGGGAGAGGATGATCCGATTGCACGAAGTGGGTTACCTGGAGAGTTATAAGATAGTTTGGTATAAGCAATATTCATTTGGGGTAATCACTCACACATTGTCGCCAAATGTACACGCACCGCCCGACGTCCTCTTCTTTTTTATCCTCACAATCTCGTATACCGATCATACAGACAAAACGCGCATCACTACTGTCAAGATCCTGGGAATGCACATTCTCACTCTGTAATATCATCAAAGCAATCACTGAAGCAGCTGCAATGGGGCCACGTATCGAGCACTCGAAGGATTTTACAAACCATTTTGCATCAACTGCCTCTGTTGGCCTGATGATGCTTCAGAGGGATTTTGCGTCCACGCGATGAAACCTCTGCGATCTCACGAAGGGTGAGATCAGCGCAATGCTGTAACCTGCACTGGAAAACGGAGGTCGCGCGTTGGACGGGGTCGGTTGGGATGACGTCGCCGCGCACTTTGACGCGAGGTCTTCCCCGCTTTGAACACCATTTGCGGTAAGGCTTGTGTGAGATCCTCGTCACGAGGGGAAAGAGGACCCTGGATGCGTCCTTTCGACCGAGGATGACACGGGTGGTGTGCGACATCATCCTACGAACCACTTGAAATGGGAGTAGATTGATCCATTGCGAACGAAGGCGCGGTTCCGTGTAGTACCATTCCTTCACCGTTTTGATGCCTCATAAACCACTTACAGCATTGCTAAGCGTGCTTCACATTCAAATGGCAGGTCGGCAGTAACGTCGTTGTCGGTCTTGGTGAAGTCTCTACCACATTAGTGGCTTCAACGTGGGCGGCACGCATGATGTTATATTCTTCCATGGCAGCCTTGGCATTGCTGTCCATTTCTCCGTCGGCATTTGCGCAGTATGGGGTCAACTGTTCGGCTACGGCGTGAATGTCTGATTTCCCTTAGATCTCCGTAGAGTAGCTTGAATGATAATAAAGCCGAGCGTGTATGGAATAAGCCAGCGCACTGAAATGACATGGCTTTTGAAGTCCGCGTGGAAATACTCCGAAGAAATGCAAGTTTAAGCTGCCCTGGAGCAGCGAGACAAACATCACAGATCTATGACATACCTTCGTTCTATGCATTGCCGACACATACGATGGCTCAAATCAAAATCAGTCTCTCCGACCGGTAACGTGCAGCATTCCTGATTATTTGTGGCTCATCGAGAAGTTCTTCCAGATTTTAAAAAACTTGACATATCTCTGTGCCAAATACGGGTCAGACCATTAAGCTCAGACAGCTCGGGAGAACAGCCAGGCACGTCTGACGTTGCCCTGCCAAGTTCTTGCGACCTACAGGTATGATGAAGTCTTCTGGCCGTTCGTACGTCTGGGGACAGAGAAAGACAGACCGGGAGCCGATACGGTTCTGCGCGTACGACTGAAATCCAAGTCCGATTCACTATGTACCATCAGCTCGCACTCAATGTGGCAGCAGAGTGTCGCGGTACACGTGACATGCGTGGGTGAGAACACGCTCAGCGCGTCCTTGAGCCCCTCTTCATCCGTTGTATTCGCGTGCCCCAACATACCGATGTCTTTACATTTCTCTGCAGATAAGCTCCCCGTCTCAGATACTGATTCGGACCGCTCATCGACATCGGAAGACGAGGACGATCTCACATGGGACGACTGGGTTTCCGACTCCATGGACACCAGACCATGCAAATCCCTTTTCGACCAGGAAAAGACGTTCACTTCCGTTCCGGAGGCACTAAATCACGATAAACTCGTTCATGGCGTCGACCTGGATGAAACATGTGCGCGTCTAGGTGAGTAGACACCTCGGTCATTGTCCCTCTATTGTGGAAGCGGGTAACCATACGAGTCCACCACACCAACCAAACTGCCGAAATTCGGGAAAATCTTGCGCTACTATTTTTGATCTGCAGTCGGTTTCGCTCGTTCAGACTTTTTAAACCGAAAGAACACCATTGAGCTAACATCTCGGATCAGCTTTGGATCTCCATCAGCGTATTCGCCTCATAAACTGGATTCGAAAAGAGGTGTGTCATATTTTACGATAGCTATAGCTCTGTAGCTGACCGCTTTCAGAAACCTGCACCATCGCAAGTGCTCGATCTAAAGGGAGACGAGGCCTTGCTTTCTTCAGATGAATATCTCATTCCGGTAATTGAGGATGACCCACTTCTGCGTGAGTGATGTTTTGAGTGCACAGAACTCAACTTTACCCGCATTTAGAGATTACATCCGCCGATTGGTCAGATTCGGACGAGGATGTCTTTGCCGATCCGCGGGCGATGCCAGATAATATCCAGACCGCGACGCGTATGATACATGCCCTCGAAAAGAAGCTTGGCAAGGCTAAGCAAGACTTGGCCGATTATCGTACTTTTGTCGGTGATCGCTTGAATTTCTCGGGCTTATCTGAAGTACTTGCGGGCGAGCCTTCTTCTACCGCTAATCTGGTCGTTCCGCCTCGAGACGATGACACTCACTATTTCCAGAGCTATGGAGAAAATGGTATGTGTCCAGAGCCACAGAACTTCTGACGTTGCCGTAAAGCTTATAGATGTTTATATGTGCAGACATACATACCATCATGATACAGGATAAGGTACGGACGGCAACGTACGCGCAATTCATCATGTCTACTCCCGAACTCTTCAAAAATGCTGTCGTGCTCGACGTCGGTTGTGGGACTGGTATACTATCCCTTTTTGCTGCACGAGCCGGTGCAAAGCACGTGTTTGCGGTTGATGCAAGCCCTATCGCACATAAAGCAGAAAAGATTGTCAAGGATAATAAACTTGAAAACACAATCACGTACGTCTCCGTGACATGTGGTCTGACTGATTCTGAGCGCACGTTTCAGCGTTATCCATGGCAAGGTGGAGGACATTCAGCTACCTGAAGGTATCACGCATGTGGACGTTATAATCTCGGAGTGGATGGGCTACGCGTTATTGTACGAATCTATGCTGGATTCAGTCTTGCGAGCGCGAGATCGATTCCTTCGACCCGAGGGCGGAGTGATGGCTCCCAGTCAATGTAGAATGATGCTCAGTCTGTGCGAAGGCAGTGAGATATACAAGGATCGCGTAAGCTTCTGGAGCGACGTGTATGGTATGTACTATGACCATGCGTTTCTCGCATATCTGACTCGTCCCAGGATTTGATTTGGCTGCGATGTCGAACGACGTGTACGATAATGCCATCGTTGACGTCGTAGGCTCAGGTACTATGCTCAGCGAACCTCATACACTCAAGGTATGTCGAATATCCTCGTCGTCTAATTGTCCTATATTTACCAGCAGCTCCCTGGCAGGACCTATTCCTTGGCACCGTCACATCAAAACAGCTCGATTTCTCCGCTCCGTTCACGTTGACATCCACGGCCGAGCGACGTACCAAAGTGCACGCGCTTGTTCTCTACTTTGATGTATTCTTCGCAGAAGATGGCCAGCCGGTGCCTCCAGAGAAAAAGGCATATGTTGCTCGCGAAGGCGACCCACTTCTTGCGGAGGTATGGCCTGTGGGCGGACGGCGGCATCCTGCGCGTCGCATGAGCTCTGGCGAGGGACTTAAGCGAACCAAAGTGTCGAGCTTCAGTACTGGCCCGGAGTCGGTACCGACGCACTGGAAGCAGACTGTGTTCTTGCTCCGGGAGCCCATCAATGTACACGAAGGTGCGCCCCCGCGCGGCATGTTCCCCCAACTGAATATCTGCTGATAATGTCGTCTTCTTCAGGTACGGTCGTTTCAGGAACTTTCAAGTGTCGCAAGAGCAAAGATAATTCACGCGAATTGGACGTAGAGATTTACTACGTGACAAAGGAGTCTGCAGAAGCAGCGCCCGAGGGCGACGCTGTGGTGCAAATATTCAAGGTACGGTAGCAAGATATAACATGGGAAGCGAAACAGCAGTCTATTAGACTTTGTATCTGTACCAATCTATTCCGGCCTAGATGGCCTGATGTCTTGTTCCTCTTCGACGCCTGATAGCAGTCACTCGAGTACGATTACAATTGAATCTACTGTGCGCACTATACAGTCGTTACGGATACAAGAGTCAGCAGAATAACAACACAAGTCTACATCAACACACTGCTAAATGTCAGTTCTCTAATAACGCTTTCAGCCTGTCGTAAATGGAATTGCCTCCAGTTCTCTTGACGAATTCCAACCGCATCGATTTCCAATCGCCCACTTGCGCAAAGCAGGTGGGAGGCACCAGAACCATACCAGCCTGGACCTGCCGGTAACAAACTACCTCTCGAATAGCATCGAAGCCCGCTTGGTCTACGAGGGTCTGCAGTAGCTTCTTCCCCTTGTCGTCCTCTACGCTTTCATTCAGATCAGACCAGATGTTGCAAGCGATATGATGAACTGCGATGAACCGGAGGACACCATCCAACAACCCCCTGATCAGCGCGCGTAGATATGACCCGAGTACCTCAGCATCGCCCTCGACTGGCCAAAGGTATTCGCCAATGCTACCCGTGAGCACCGCATCGACGGGGATGCGGATGGTTTTGAGTACATGGGCATAATCAGCCCAGAGGTATTTACGATAGTCAAGCGAATATCGCATCGACAATGGAGGCAACAAAAGGCGCGCGAAAAGAGGGTGCGCAAAAGAGATAGCATCGTACAAGCCGACGAAGTCGGTGTAGAATTGATAGAAGGGGGTAGATGGCCCAAGGAAGCGCTTTGCCACCGACTCCAGGTTTTGCGCTGGGATCTCAGGAGAGGGAAGTTGCAGAGACATCGTAGTCGTCCCAGCCGCGAAAGGGGCGACGAGTTCGTCCATGAGGCGCCCCACGATTGCATCTCGGAATACTTCCTCGGTCGAATCATTCTGCTGCTGTCCGTGCTCGAGCATGAACACCTTCATGCATGTGAACAACGTCTCCTCGCGACTAGGAATAAGAGCGTGCATTCCATGGGTGCATAGAATTTCTCGGTGAATCTTAGCAAGCAGAAGACTCAAGCGAACCACCTCCGACTCTGATGCATCCCAGGAAAGAGGCAATGACTTGAATACATCAGAATCTCCTGACCGAAGGAGACTGTCTATAGGTGCAGACAGCCAATCTTTCGCTAGCGGTAACGGATAGTTGTGTCGAGCATCAGGGATGAGGGATTGTGCGGGAGGTAATCTCTGGGTGCTTGCAACAGCGATAGATCGTGGAGAGATCCATATGGGCCCTACGGATATCTCTTCTTTGGGTTGTAAACGAGAATCGAGAAAAGGCTTTACAATCTGCATGCCTCCCTTCTCCCATATGATGGCCGGCACGTCCCATGAGCGAGTATTCACAAAGTCAGCCGTAATGAGGTCAAGCGCATATCCGAGATTGCGTTGGGCGTCTTCCTCGTCTCCCGGTAACAATCTGAGCGTTATCGAAAATGCCTGAGCTATCCACACACTCTGCGTGATTCCTGGAATTTGCCGCGATAGCTCAAGATAACTAGAGAGTAGCAACGCCAATGGCCGGCAGAATACGAGTGTATACGGCACATCAGAGGAAAAGACAGATGCCCATATCGGATGCAGGGTGACTTGCGAACAGAGGCTTGAGAGCTTACTGAACGGTAGTATGAAGGGCGGGGACTCGGGAGGCTCAGAAAGCTGTGGGGGCAAGCAGGATAACCAGAGGCGCATAACAGCTGCCAAAGCACTTGCATGTCCAGCTGTCGCATTCAGCGTGATCAAATCTTTGTGCCGAGGCGAACGAATGCTGTCACCACTTATCGAGTCCAAAAGCTGACCCAGCATTTGATGCGAACGTTCTACCACGTCCTTCTCGACGCCACTCTGAAAGCCAGCTTGTAACGCGCCAAGCGCAGTTGAACGCGCTTCCTGTCCTGATCTAGGCTCGTTCACCCGAACACCCTCCAACCAAGCAGCTTCAGCTCTCCAAATCGCAGCCCACGTCGTATGATCTTCTGCAGTCAGCCACCGTCTTGTCTCTAAGACCTCCTCTCCCCAATCCCAGCCCACAACCTGGCTCCACAATATATCATGACTCGGCGTGGTACGATGTGGATCTCTTGCGCAGACCATCCATGCCGCCAACAATTCATACCACGTTTCTCTTAGCTGCTTGGACGTACATTCCGCGGAGGCAATATACCTGCCGATCTGCGAAAAGTGTTCGGCTGCAGTGGTCGCAACGTGTGCATAGAGCCCGTAGGAGGCAAAGGCCGTGTACAAACGTAAAGTTCCCGTGAGCAGCGCAACGGCAAGATGCAGTGGATACGAGGACACGGTGGGAAGCGTGGTGACATAACGCAGAAGTGCATCTGCAGGACCCAATAGCGCCGAGGCGTTGACTCGCGATGCAAGCGCCAGAGTAACTAGCAGCTCCAGTGCGAAAGGATCGGGAAGCGGAGAGTCACATGAAGGAGGGATAGGTGTAAGTAGGAACGCTTGAACGACACTTGCCACTAAGCCTGAAGTTGAGACAATAGAGTTCGCGATAGCATTTGAATGTTGCCCAAGCCGATGGAGAATAGCCAGCCATTGTGTGAGAGATTCTCCAGGGAGGGCTCTTATAGCCAGTGCGCTTGAAGCTTGAGACAGGATGTATTCCAATGGCAGAGTAGAAATGGGATCCTCTTCCGACGCGCCATCTAGAGTTTCCAATTCTATAGACTGGATGGAGGTAACGTCTCCATGCCAGTTGACAATACACTCCCATAGCACCTCCACTGCACGAGCTCCGACACTTCCGCGCTCAGCAAGAGCTTCGATACCAGCAGCCATAATTCGTTTCCGGAGATCGGAATCTTGCCCAGAAAGTTGCACAGTTTTACCATTCTTCAATCTCCTTGCGATGTGAGCTAAAACTCCGATGATGGCAGCCCGTTGGGCGGGTACAGTAGATCGCGAGAGTAAGAATAGTTCGTCCAAGCTATATCCAGCGTGTACGCCTTCCGCATGATGATGCAAACCAAGATGCGTAGGAAGAACCGCCGACACATCGGGCGGAATGGGCGCACCGGTCAAGTCAAAGCGCAAAGTGGAAGGAGTAGCAGGCGAATCGCTAGATGGCTCCATCCAAGCGAGGGATGGGTCATTTGCCAGCGCCGTGGGGAAGAAGCGTCGGCGGATATCCTCCGGCGTTCCCTCCTCAACTTGCGGCGGCGACTGAGCGTCTGGCAAGAAGGGTCCTTGTTCTCGACGACGGACAGATGGGCTAGTTGGCGCCCACTCACCGAGGGAAATTGTCGGTCCGTCCGCATCGGACGGAGGAGGCAATGCAAGGGGTCTCCTGCGAGGAGAAGGAGGAGCGGATTCATAGACATGGATATCCTTGGACGTGATATCTGCAAAACGGACGCTGCGATCTGCCCTGCTGGAAGGCCGTGTTCCCCCCCTAGACATGGCCGAGGGAGGACTAGAGGGTCGTGATGGCTTTCCTGAAGAGGATGTAAGGGCAGAGGTGAGTTTCACATTCTGACCAAACGTACCGTCCGGCGCACCCCGATTCGTGACGGAAGTGCCCTCCGTTTCTCGTCTTTCGGAACCCAGCCGCTTTTTCTCCCTGAGTTCCCTGACTTTCCTCAAAGTCTCACTTACGCTGGGTCCGAACCGTTGCAGAATTTCCCTCCTCTCTTCCTCTCGTTCCTCCTCAGACATCGCTTCCACTCGCCGCCGGTTTTCCTCATCGATCTGCTCGCGCCAATCGTCCGTATTCCCATTTCCTGCTTCCAGCGCAGAAGCGTGAACATTCTGGACAGCAGGGACTTGCTGGGATCGGGCAGAAGGCGTGCGCTTTTGCTGTTCCCTAGACCTGGCGAATGCACTTTGAGAGCGATGTTGAACTGCGGGGAATCCGGTCTTTCCTGAGGCAGGCTTCGGAGACGGCGCCAAAGGCGTTGCGCGAGGCTTCCGCTCGAGGATCGAGCCGACAAGATGGACAGGCCCTTGCTGCATCGTGCCTGTGTTGCAGCTGAGCGAATGCGGAAGAAATTGAGCCCGACTGCGACTCAGAGGACTTGTGGAGGTGGGAGGTTGGTTAGACACGTCGAGACGCACGGAACTCAAGATATCCGTCCCAAGCGCGTTGAGCCGTGGATTCCGCGCGGACCAGCGGCGACTGCAGCAATGCCCTCAAGAGACATTTGAGCTCAGTACCCAGGGTGGAGGGCTACACTTACAATAAGCTGTGGAAGCCCGTGGAAGTGAGAACGGAAATCGCGACTTGCGCAAAGAAAGTTTGTCAGATCGGTCGGGGGTGCTGACATAATATATATATGTCTGATGCCGTTAGACAATAAATAAGCAATAGCGTAGTAGGGATGAACAAGTGTAACTACTGGAATATCGATACAATATTTAGGCTTATAGACTAGTAGAACTACACGACGATATACGCAATGATCAGCTGGGCTATGGAATCAATCTACTCTATGGACACGACAAAATAGATAAAATCCCGACAGGAGTGTGGTCTCTGCGCTCCGGGCTGGAAAACCTATCCTTGCAATTCGACACACGTCTCGGTGGCGAGCGGACTCTGCATTCGACCGTGGACGTTACGATAATTTAGGATTCAAAGTGGGTGATGCGAGATGCCGCCTGGGAATTCGGGGGGAGAATGATATGATAGAGTGTCGGGCCTAACGGCGCGATCAGATTCGCTGGACGGTGGCGGTGTCCTGCTCGGATTGTTTGACAGCTCGGAAGCGCTTCCACGAAAGCGATACGCGTATTAGGATTAGGATTAGGATTAGGATTAGGTTAGCCGAGCGTAGCCGGAGAGTGCGACATGGCGCGTCAGAAAAACACGGGGCCTGAGGAGCTCGCAGCACCGCGTATCGCATTCTGCGACGTGGACGAAGTCGTCTGCGGCGGCTTGGTCTGAGCAGGCTTGCTCGCAGGGGGTTGGAAGGGTGTGCGCGTGTGGACCTTTGCCGGCATGCGGCTGGAGAGAAGAGTGGGTGCGGTGGTACGAGACATGGCGTCCTGGATTATAGGAGATTAGAGAATGAGATTTAGATAAAAGCTGCAGATAGGCTGTAGATGTACGACTAGACACGTCGTCTGTACCAGTGCTGGATGAGGGGATGGCTAATAGTAGGCGTCGCGACCTACTCACTTTATACCCGAATGGTGGTCCCGCATCTCGCCGCGAGGCACAGCTGCCGCGGGAGTCAGCATAGGCATGAGATCAAAAAGGAAGATGCAGGACTACCGCCGTCTGACTTGGAACTTGATCGGGATAATGTGTTACCGCAGACTCGACTTGTCACAAGTGCAATTGCGGTGACAGCGCCATAGAGAACCACCAGAAGCGAGCGCACAAAGCTTCCATAATATAGTCGACCGCAACGAGGCCCAAACAAAAAGGTACCGAGAACGCATTGTGAGCGCTCATCACCAATAGGAAACCAAAAACCATTTTGCGGCAATGAGCTGGACGTTTGAAATATGTGGGGTAACCGTGGCTCGCAAACCGTCATGTACATCCATTGTGTTCCACCAGCTAATGGATTCTTATCAGTCAATGGCCTCTCCGTGCAAGACTCCGTTCGCCTTGAGATGTGACCATAAACTTCAACGGAACCCTCGTTGCGCAAGTATTGGCTCGGAGAATTCCCGGCCAAGGCGTCTGTACGATCCCATCATCACATCATCGTCGTCATGTATGGTCAGGCACGATACGGCAGCATGGCGGCTCACAAGTCAAAACTGCATTTCTCACCAAAATGTCACCCACGTACCACAGGTCTATGGTGAATTGCCATGCCAGTATATCAGCTAGAAGCAACTGAATGGAACACGGGCTGGAACACTCTCCTGGTTTGCCAGAGTTTCGGATCTTCGCTGTTCTACCTCCCGACGCATTTCTGCCGCCCGCAACACATCTCGGTATCTTCGAGTTCGCTGTTGGGCAGATTTGGACCACTTTAACCAAACCCGAGTCGCGCCGGGGGTGCTCATGATCTTCTTCGCAGAGGCGACCATCTTGGGCTGCATACGCCGGAAACGAGCACTGCCAGATCTGAGATCACAGCCACGGTGCGCTCGACGGGAGTCTGTCACCGCCATACATGCGGATGCCTATCGCCCGACTATATCGAGCACGGTTGCTATGCAGGGATGAGCGAGAGGCTGTCGACGGTCGACTTTCCCTTGTCAAATAGGAACAGGGTGACCAACCGCCGCCGACAAAGCAAGCCCATTTGATACCTGACCTGGTACAATGATCCATTGAATGGTGCACAGAAAATTTGGAATCCCGTCTCGACCCCATCTGTCCGCAGTATTGCGTGAGTATGACTCGCGTCCTCAGTCCCATGGCTCTGCGGACACGATACGAGATGAGCGAGATCCAGTGCGTTTTAGTACGTACAACCCACGACCAGAGTCATCTCGATCCATGTATCACTGCCACTGCGGTGCACGGTGCACGCGAACGACTGGGCCACTGCAAAGAAGAATGGCAGACGAGACTGTTTGGGATCATTCCTTTGCTTTGGGTCTTGCGAAGGAATGCGACAACCTTGCATCTTTACGTGAACGCGCGGCCTGCACGACATAGATCTGTGTTCGATGGGTGACAACAGATAATAAGTAAAGCACATACATCAGCCGCCACTGGCCAGTAAATGTATAAATAAGCAATTCGATTACGTGGACGTTCGGGGCGATTAAGCTGTCAAAACAAAATAATTATCTTACTGCTTAATTCAAGTATGTCTCATTAGACGCCGCACGATCAACACCGTAAGCAACAACTTGTTGAAAGGTGCCAGCTGAATTGGGTAAGCGGCATCTCTTACAAAACGGCCCTTTTAAACATTGGTTATCTCTTTGTTGCAAGCAGCACGCCATCAGTTCCAAGACTGCGGCATCGTGCAACTTCCTATAATGTGGAATTCGAACAAAGGCACACTGGCAGAACAAGTTTGTATACAACCCCCGTGTCTAACGCGGTCCCGCAGAGACCCCGATCTTGAAACATAATGGCACAAGCGATGACGAAAGATCGTTCCAGTGATTACAAACCCATCGCTTACATTACTGATTTGTAAGTGTGTCTAAAGGGGCGTCCATATTGCCTTGGGCAGCCTGCAGCCTGCCGCCGCTAGCATATGTATATGTATATGTACTGCAGCGCTGCGCTGACCAGTGATCAGACCAGAAGTCGACCAACTTGATGCCCAAGATGCGCGCCGTACTTGTGAAAGATGGAAAAGGCCCCGTTGAGAACCTTTACCTTGGAGAGGCGCCAACGCCGACGCCAAAGGAAGACGAAGTTTTGGTGAAGGTAGGTCGGCACACTCCCGACGCGGATGGTCCCTCCTGTGGAGCTAGAGTGCTGACGATGAGAGCAGATCAGGGCTTTTGGCTTGAATCGCATGGACATCAGCCAGCGCAATGGAGGCTACAATCTGCCTCCGGGCGCGTCGACCATCCTCGGCGTCGAGTTCTCCGGGCACGTATCCGCGCTCGGTGCAGGCGTTACGGGGTGGAAGGAGGGCGACGAGGTCTTTGGCCTTGCCTCAGGGGTGCGTCATCCCCCTCGTCGTCGCTGAACTGGGTGCAATTGACGTTAGCGGTTAGGGCGCCTACGCGGAATTTATCGCCGTGCCTCAGAGGAATCTGATGCGAAAGCCAGCCCACCTGTCCTGGACGGAAGCTGCCAGCGTCCCTGAAAACTTCCTGACTGGTGTGTGCTACCGCGTCCTCCACCCAGCGCGCGCTATCCACTGAGCAGCCCGCGACGTAGCTTTCCAGGCGCTGGCTCTGATAGCCGAGATTAAGAAGGGCGACCACGTCCTCATCCATGCTGGTGCATCCGGTGTCGGGGTAGCTGCCATTCAGCTCTCTCGTCTTCTCGGCGCGTGAGTGCTACCTGATCGGCGTTCCAGGGGATGGTATCTTGACGCGGTCGCTTCATCGCAGGGCCACGGTTACCGCGACGGCTTCTAGTACGGAAAAGCTGGATTGGCTGTTGTCGCTGCCGAACGGTGCCACACATGCGGTGAACTACAGGACCCAGGATTTTGCAGCAGAAACCAAAAAGGCAACCGGGGGAAAGGGCGCGGACGTCGTCGTCGACCTCGTCGGGCAGAGCCACTGGCACAAGAACATCGAGGCCTTGGCTCTTGATGGGAGGATGGCCATCATTGGTCTCTTGAGCGGTCAGTCCGCCGCTGAGTGCGATCGTGTTACAGATGGGCTGAGTGTTTCATAGGTTCTGAGGTGGCAACGCTCAATATGAGCATATTGCTGTACAAACGCCTGCGGATACAAGGTTCCACGCTACGCTCCCGTTCTGCTGATTATCAGGCCGCGCTGATTGCGAAGTAAGTTCTGGTCGTTCCCGGCATTCCTGCGCCCCTCATCACATCTCCACTGGCGAGACAGATTTGGGCATGATGTCCTGGACAGCATCACGAACGCCACGGGCGGCGGTGCCGTGCGGACTTACATTCACGAGGTCGGCACACCATGGTTGTTGTGTCTTTCCATACTGACTGGAGACGTGTGATCACGCCGCGCAGGTGTTTCCCTGGACAAAAATTCAGGAAGCTCATCATGAGATGGAAGCAAACAAGAATAGGTCAGTGGGAATTTGTCGGTGGCATAAACGGGGAAGTCGTTGGCTGACGGACTCTTTGAAATTCTTAGTGGGAAGATTATCGTGGAAGTGGTGTAAGGGGCGTCTAGTACGCAACAAGGCAGAAATGTGCGGGTTGAGGAAGTGCGCAAAGAGTGTACATTGTTTTATACAGAGGAAAGATCCATGGTTTACACATTGGTGCAAGTAAGTGATAAACCTGAGAATGTGTGGTACGGCTCTGTTGGACCCTCGTTGCCATGTGTTTGTTTTGCAATACCCGCCGTGATCTGTGCGTTCAATCGACACCCCCCTGGTAACATTTCGTTTACTGCAGATCAAGGACGAGGGCACGCGGGTGCTAACTATCTCGTTGTCCAGGATGTTGGTGCAGACCAGTTCAGCACCCGTTCCAGGTCGTGCAATACATCTTGCGAACTTCTGAGAGATATATCTTACAAATCGGCGATAGCGATAGGCTTGAATCTTGTGCACCGTTCTCCGGGTGCCCGCGCGGCGGGGGCGGCGGCGTTCGCTGGGACGGTTGTGGAAGCCAAGGATTGAATGAGCTTGTGCGGTAGCCGCTGAGCAGCAGGCTCGTTGAGGCAAAGCGCAGATAGACTGGCCCGATGGTGTGTCGGAGCTGCAAAGACGCTGCTGGGCCGTGTAAGCTACCCGCGAAGGAAGCTGAGGGGAAAGTTCAAGAAGGCCTGGCAAGTGAATTATCAAGACCGCATCGTGTTTGACGAGGCTCGTGCTCGGGCGGTCTGGGCCGACGGCACCACCAGAGCTGGACTGACTCGGTTCTTCCGCCGTGTGGGCAGAGTTCCTCTCGCACCTTCCGTGCTGACCATTGTGGAGGCTTGGCCAGCGTCTTCGACCCCCCCCCCTCCTGGAGAGTCCGATCCGGGCAGAAGAGCGAGTGTGTGGAAGGTGCGAAGCCAGGAGTCGTACTGGCAGAGACGCTGCAAGAGACGTCGTCGGATCCGCTGTCCGGGCTGATGGGCCGCCGTACAAGCCCGAATGTCGGCCATCTGCCAGAGCAGGGGCTAATGAACGGGCACAGTGCGAGGGCGTTCCCACCGCTGTCTCGACAAACGCCCAGAGTGGGATCGACTGGGAGGGAGCGCGTTTTGGATGTGTGCGCGGCCGTCTGGGACGCAGTGCAAATGCGGTGGAGGGCGGTGTGGATTTCATGTTGATATCTCCGCATGTCGGGATTGGCTGCGACATGTCGTGGACGAGCCCCAGCCTCCAGCGTGCCGTAGCGCCTGCGATCCTCTTCCGTGCACCGTTTTGGGCTCGAGCGGGCTTGCGGCAGCCACATCAAAGCATCATCAACATTCCTCGGCGCTGCCCCTTTAAAGCAGCCCTCCTCAGCCGTCCTCAGCCCAACAACCCGCCACTCGCCTCTCCTCCGCCTCTCATTCATCATGCACTTCTCCTGGACCAACGCCGTCCCCTTCAATTCCTCCGCACCCGCAGTCTCCAACACCACCGCCCCCCGCCCTGCCCCTCGCCCATCCACGTCGTCCGGCATTCGTACCCTCGCGAGCTCTTCTGCTCCCGTGTTCTTCTGAGCACCTTTGGCACCCACCTCACTGTGTATTCTTCGTCTCCATCGAGGTGCGCTCGACACTCGGCCGTGCCCCACATGCACAGTGCTGACATCCTTCCGCTAGCCATAGGCTCCCCCTCGGGCCCGGCTAGTCGCAGCCATCTGCTTCGCAAGCAGCACCCCCTCTGCATCCCATACCCCGCGGCCCCAAGCCCACATCGCATTAACATACGTCTCGACCGCCTACCTGGTCGAATAATCTCCTATCTCGCCCTTGGCAGTACGTGTTCCGGCGCATAATGGGTATACATTATAAGAAAGTTGTTGTAGTGCTAAATTAGTATCCTTGCCTTATAACTTATGTATTTATTCCTTGCTCCGTAGTACGTAGAATTCTGTATCCATTCTTTGACTCGCACAACCCATCCGACTGCAATATTCACCATAATTTCACTGCCGTCTGATGCGCACCCAACCCTGATACGCCATTGTCACCACATGGACGACGCAGACCGCAGCCCTGAGCGCTGAACGTCGTAATAGAAACACCGCATCATTGCGTTGATTCTGTCTGGAATGTAGTGATCTAAAGCCTTCAGGCGTGACAGCCATCGCCAAGGGGTTCACACATCGGTCACAGTCGAGAGACGTGCAAGTTCGGACGAGCAGCCACGCCGAGTGCGGGCTTGCGTACGAAACCTCAGGCACCAAGAACCCACCAGTGTCCCGGAATGTTATGCACCAGCTGGCGCATGACATAGATGACTCGCGCTATAGGGCGCGAGCAACGTCGCGGAAGCTTGCCGAAGATTCGTCGACGGCCGAGCCACAGCCTATACAGCTGTGCAGTGTGCCCTGGCCTTCCAAAGACGACAATGTGTGAGTCATATGTGCTGCGAACCACATCTGACAGCATCAGGCACAGTGCCAACATAATTATCATGGACAAAACAGGCTGAGGGGGACAGCATGACACACCTTGTGTACTGATATGAGTGTCCTGACTGTCTATATCTAGTCAAGTGAGCACGTCACTCCGTTTCCGTACAGCAGCCATGCGGCGCAAGACGATAGAGTATTTCGCAGCGCGCTGCAAACTCACAGTGAACGGCATTGCGCCTAAAACACACAAACACGCCCACTATCGGGGTCTGAAGGAAGATGAACGCGGAGCGGGACCTGGCGTTAAAACTGAATATGAGGAGGACCAAGTATCAAGTTAGTATGACACTTTTACCCCGAGCCGCCTCCCACGATTCCACGCTGCAACTCAAAAGAGGACAAGAGTCTGGGCTTGGAGTGCAAACTACCTTGTGATTCAGATATCATGTGCAACCGGCAGTCGTTGTTGTTGCTCCAGATAGGGCGTCAGAAGGGCCATGCTTCGTCACGGCATTCGAGTCTGCAGTTGGTTGGCTCATGCGCGTGCTTGTTGAAAATAGGGAGCGCGGCTAGATGCGTTTGTTCGATGTGGTGCCCCGATAGCCCTGACCATGATCGGTGGCCCGAGCCGGTCCCTCGCTTTCAGGTATGCTAACCAAGAGATGCGTATCAAGATTTATGACTGCATGAAGAACCTTGAAGGCTTTCATCCTGACAAGCATAGAACAGACGCTTCCGGGTCAGCTGAGGCCTCCATAATAGAAGAGTTCCGTGACGAAGGGTCAAAAGAAGGATATCTATACCATATCGAGTTCTTGCCGCATTACCGCCGTCGCAGAAGCAGCTGTAGTCCCTTTTGCCAACGCGGGATGGAGATGCCTAGGCGTCAGCACATACGGAAACCAATTGGCACGTGTATCAGTGGCGCATTGAGTTTATTCTGCGAAAAGTAGCTTAGCCTTCTGCCTGAAGTACTAGAATCAGTCATGGACGCTCTTGTACCGGCACATACGAACCTAAAGACAAGGCATACCTTCTGCCAGAAGACGTATATGTACTCCATGTTCAACTAGATGACATGAAAATTTCCCTCGGTCGCTCTATCCGGGTGATTGCCCTATGGTAGCGCATGGGGACTGTAGACATTAAGGGGGATCAAAAGTGTCGAGCGTCTGGCATGTTACGGTGCTAGCCGCCCTTAAAAGAGCCAAAGACTAGCTGGGCCGCACCCCTTCGCCCGTCGCCCACAAAGAATGAAGACACACCTCTGCGCACACGACAAGCACAAGGGACACCTTGCCAAACCAGTTGCTCCGACTTCCGTGAAAGCGATTGCTCGCGCCACGATACGCGCGATTGCGAGCACGGCGTTTCCAGTCTTTTTCTAACACCGTGAAGAAGATATGCAGAAATACCTGTATTTTCATAGGTAAGACGGAAATATCTGCCTGGGGTTACTCCCACTGACTTCAGAACCTTAGCTCTCTATCACATAGGAAAGGGGCACAGATATATGAGGAACGCAGCGGTATGAATGTGGAGGGTGCTCACAGTGCTAGGACAACGTAACCACGACGGTAGCGTGGTCGTCGGGCGGTGGTCTCATGTGTCATGTAACGGCGCGTAATGTCACGATCGCGACTTGTAACGCGTGACTGCACGCGACCCTCGTCTATACCCGGAGGACGTGTTAAGCGCGCGTGCTCGATCTCAGGTCGACGTTTCTCGAGAAAATGAGACGGCACAGGAGCCGCGGAAGCGGAATTCGACCAAGGTAAACCAAGAAAAGTCGGAATTTAATTTCAAGTTTCACCTGAAGATTAGACAATCTTGCACGAGACACGTGCTGCTTTCCAATTCCGGTGACACTTGAGACTTGCGCTCGCGTACTTTCAAGTTCCAAGTCTTCCCGGTCACTGCGATCTTCCAGCAACCATATCTCAACGAGGAGGATGAAGACGACTCTCCTTACTTTGGCCACCCATCTCGTCGGTGTGGCTCTAGGCTCGAGAGGAAAGCAACCGTTCGAGCTGTTGATACATCGTGACTTGGAGACTCTGAGATGTACGTTCATATCTCTTCACCAGACGCAGACGTTCCGAGGGCTTTCCGACACGGGTTATGCACACGTCGAGCCATTGGATCCAACATCCGAAGTTCTGCGCTTCATCAACCATGAACCCCGTCAACTAAGGGAGCAGATACATTCCCTATGCGGAGATACGATAGATCCCCCAGCCAACGTCCCCTTCATTCTTGGAGATGACGTCCTGCTCAACACCCAACTGGATAATGCACAAGAAGTTTTCGCCTCGCCGCAAAGTTCAAATGGCAGGATGAACGCTGTCGCGCCGCCGCCGCTCCATGTTGAGCCGCTGATTACTTCCGGGCCCTCTGACAACCGTGTCGATCTTGTATTTTTTGCGGACGGCTGTAAGTGCCATTTGTCATTTGAAGTATCTTATTGATGCCGTTGACAGATACACTTGAAGAGAAAGGAAAGTTCCTCGCAGACGCCACACGCCTGGCTTTGGACATGTCGGGCAATCAAACTTTCAATACTGTCAAGCCCCTCTTGAACTTTTGGGCTGCATTCACTCCCAGCAACGAGGTAGGCTACTGCATACTTTTGTACGGTCTTCAAGTCAGTCGCGCATCGCTCATGCTCGTTTCCGTAGAGTGGGGTGGGAACCGGTGGAGAACCGAAAGAGTAAAATTTCACTTGAGACAATTATTTCACCAGCTCAACAGTTTTCCAGTACACCATTTGGTCTATACCGGGACGGAACAGAGCTCCGTGGTGTTTACTACAGCAAACCTGAAGTTGCGCGCGTGGCCTGTCTCTCGCTAGGGCACAGATGTGACTATCCGATTTTGATGGGTCAGTTGCTGCATTATTATCATTGAACAGACAGCTGAAACATGATTGTTCTAGGAAATGATCCACTTTATGGTGGTGCGTTCAAATTCCACTGTATCTCGCGTTGGCTCTCACGTCAATTGCAATTGCCCAGGGCTGGGGGGAGAATTCACGTCAGTCGGCGACACTATAACTATGAATACCAAATCTCACTCTTGCTCTCTTCAACATCAGCGTAATAACTCCTTCTTTGGCAAATGGTGCTCTTGTACTCCGGTCAGTATTGCGTGGGATGGTCGCGATGTTAGACATGATATTAACAAAGTTACTCAGGCATGAACTCGGACACTCAATCATCGATGTTGGAGAAGAGTATGATGGGGGTCCAGATTATTTCGGTGTCAACGCAGCGCACAGCATTTCCCAGCCCATCCCGTGGTCCCATTGGCTCACGAACACGTCTCATTCGCACCATCACAAAGGTGTACGCGTTGAACGGTCGTCAATGCCCATGCAAGCCTATCCATGGACACTCCTCAACGTTACGGATCCGTGGTCTATCCGATTTAACTCCTCTGGGACATATGCCCGACACTTGGTCCGATTTTCGCTGTCTGGGATACCCGAGAAGGGAGATTTGCTGGTCACATTGGATGGTGAAGACCTGCAGTGGTCTCCAAGACCGGATATTGGAGTTGACCGATGGCACTATGACATACACCGTGACGGGGGGCTCGGCGGTGGAGTCCATGATGTCTCGTTCACACTGCGGAACAACGGCAGGGAGGGACTTGCCCAGCTATGTAGCGCCGAGGTGCTGGAATTTGGGAATGAGGAAGAGTGCGTAGTTGCCCATTCTGGACTGCGTCAGCGATTTTGATTGTTCTTGGACGCCAAGGTTCGTTTCGACCCCTGGATACTACGGTGTCTTCCCAACGTAAGTACCACTCTAATTGTGACCCGTACGCGTCTCCCATGGCGTGCAGGGGAGATCCCTCGCCGGCAGTTGCCTCTGCTGACAACTGAGTTTTGATCATCATTTTCCGTCCTGACAGGTTCTCAGACGTGAATGCTACGTCGTACCGGCCTACCAGCGAAGATTGCCTGATGCGCATTGTGACCTCTCCCAATTTCTGCAGTGTCTGTTTAGAGGGGCTCTGGCTTTCATTACTGAGACGTATCGACTTGATTGACGACATCAAGCGAACGTGCGTTATGGGCGGTACTACCTCTGGACACGCGTCTGGCTGGAAGTCGGCCATCGAAGTGGGGCTTGTTCCGCTTGCGCAGTTCAGAGGGGACACCATAGACGCGCAAGAGAGCTACACCATCATTTGGAGGAAGGACGGAGAGATCCTTGAGGCGTTCACGAACAAAACCCGGGTGGAAGTGGATGATGATGTGAGTCTGGGCGTGTACACCGTAGACGTGCAGTTCGCCACCAGCGAAGTTCGTGTGGACAAGGACAGACTTCTTGTGTCGAATGGAACCTACGAGATTACGGAAACATGCAGCGCATGGTAGGAAAAGGTGTCACACCAATTGATGTCGCTCCGAGCGAAAAGATGGTATGCATCTAGTGAGATATTGTAGGGTACTAAGGCTGTAGGGTATGGGGATATAAAGAATGATTGCGGGATCTTGAACGTGATCAACCAGAGAGAAATGCTATGTGCAACAGTGATACATGTAAAGTAATGCAATGCAGGAATAAAGTGTGCGTCACCACGAGGACTAAGTTCGCGATGGAAAACAGAATGTGAGTATTCGCCATAGGCATCAGGAGTGACCTCCAAGCATGAATGGAAAGCCATGATCGGATGCTGAGACCTATAAAATAGAGAAACCGAAGTGGTACATGAAATCGAAACACTGTAATGGGAAGCTCAGAACAAAGAGAGGTCCAGGAGAGCACCAAGGAAGGATGGTAAAAGCCATAATATCACATGATAACACACCTACAACACCCGGCACCGCCATCGTCATCTGGTCTGTCCGCCCCCTCGTTTCGCGTCGGAACGATTGGTTGGATCGCCGGTGATTCAACTTTCTGATGTCCTGTATCGGGTGGCGCATAGTGCGCGAATGGTGGAGGGGAAGGAGGAGAGGTATGCGAGTGGGTTCGTTCGACGACAGTAGGCGGTAGGAGTGGCTTTGGTTGTTCCGTGACGGGCTGTGGTTCTTCTCCGACCGCATCCATTTTCTGGCCAAACTCGTCCATCGGAATGACCTCCGCCCCACCATTGGCATCCTTCCGACGATATTTCGAGTGGTCATAACCGAATGTTCCGGGCGCCTGATGAAAAGTAAATTAGGACAAGCTGAAGAAATTCATTAGCATATGCCAGCTTGGGCAAGAACGCACCGGCTCATAAACCGCGCTCTTTGTCTGCGACTGTAATGTCCGTGAATTGCCATCTGCTGTTGCATAATGACCTTCAAGACCCTTCTTGCGTGCGACGACTGGTAAGACTACCTGTAGATACCATCAGTAATCAATGTATCGACGGCAAAAAGCAACAAGTTCACATCGTCCCAGTTGCCCGACGTCGGCACAGGTTGTGTCCAAGATGGAATTGCATCCATCATGTTATCGCCATCTGCAGCGGGGTACTGTCCAACGGATCGTCTGTTCTGGTCGCTGCGAGATGCAATTGTTTTCATCGAAGAGGGAGGCTTTGTCTTTGCTTTCTTTGCTGTCGATGTAGATCCGGTGCCAGCCGGACTCTTCGCTTTCCGTTTCGCATTCGGGGATGTACGTTGACCTTGTGATTGTGGCTGCGACTGCGAGCGAGGAAGACGCTGGGGAGATCGAGGCGTGGAGGGTGTGGATGAAGTCTCGGAAGCGCCCCGGGCGACTTTAGTTGGTGTGGGTGTGCGCGGCGGAGCTGAGGCCTGTCGCTGGAACGCTGCTGTCGGTATTCGGGAGACACTCGAGCCTGCCCGCTGTTTTGCGGCGTCACCTTGCGAAATCTGATATCCGTTGAGTGTGAGGGACGGTGAAGAGATTGTACCATTAGGATGAGGTAGCACCCCTCGCTCATAAGAGTCTATCTCCGGCTCCTCGTCGCTCTCCCCATCAAGGTCAGTAAGCGGCTGCTCGTTCAGAACCATGTGAGCGTCCTCCCCGGGGTCATCGTCATCCAAATAGATGCTCTCCCTCGTGGTTGCACCAACACTCTCTGCCCTCTGCCTCGTCCGAAGCCATGATGAACGATCTCTGCTTCGAGAATTGGACCTGGAACGCGAGTAACTGCTGATGGCAATCCGCGAAGACGCTACCTGGAATGTGTGCCCATAATTTGCAATGTCTAACATTTCCTCCCTCCTGCCTATGCGCAACTCACCAACGCCGCCATTCCGGGCGACATCCCCGCGGTACCAGTGCTCATACGGCCGCTCTTCAGATTCTGAGGAGACGCGATATGGACCGCTCATACCTTGCTCGAAGTCGGTGTGTGACGATGTGATGGAGTTGGCACCAAAAGGTGCGGTCTCTTTGAAGAGCTCGGAAGTCTTGCGATGGGGAATGCGAACTGTCGAACGCGACGAGTAGCCGTGATGAGCCTCATCGACGGGCGAGAGCTCTGAGGCATCGGTGTCGCCATTGCTCCGCGAATGTCCGAGGTGGCTGGCTTCATCCGTCCGGCCAATACTCCCGTGAATAGAACCTTGCGCGTAGCTGGATGTGCTCCCTGCTCGAACTCGTGACACTGGAATACGCGTAGCCTTCCCATTTACCATTGGCGAGGTTGGTCGAGATGATGTCGAGGACGGGTTTGGGGAATCGAGTGCTGATAACGTGCGAGTGCGGGTGGGCTGGAAATGCGCAGAGCCATTCGTTTCAGATGTCCTGGTTTGCTGAAGACTAGGACGAGGAATGGCGCTTGGTTTGTGATTCGAGTAGTTCTGCATTTGTGGCTCTTGGCGCGAGACGAAATTGCTAGACGGATAGACGTCGTGGTCGTCAATGGAGGCGAGGGAGGCTGCAGATAACCGTTTCGCAATCATATTGCTCTCAGTTTGCAGGCCTATAATAAACATCAATCTCAACGTATCGATGTGGATATATTATAGAGATTCACGTTTCCGAAGAGTCGGGACGATTACCTCGTCCCATCCTGGCTCCCGAAGGGCGGACTGGGCGGTCGCAGTCAACGCCATAAACGAGAATTGAAAAGCAACGGAGGTCCAAAATTCCGATCCGAAACTATACTACCTTCCACGAAACAAGGGGAAAACGAGGGAAAGGAGTGGCAGCAGTTGGGCAGAATCCCAGCCGAACAGGTCAAATCAAGACGTAGAAGAGCAGCGTAGTGATGGCTTTCCCGTTTGTGTTTATTTGCTTCATACTATGCGCCCGCAAATAGCCTAGAGTCTCGCTCTATGCTATTGGTCTATGTTATTGCAGAGACGTCGGTAATTAATTATTGCCAGACACAAACTCTGGTCGTCTTTGCGACTCTTCTGCAACGCTAACCTTTGCTCGTGCCAAACAGAGGGTCACCATCGTCCGGTTTGTTTCAATCGTTTTTGTTTGTGTGCCCATGCTCATGAACACTTAGATGAGCGCAGCAGTCGCGCACATTTCTCGACATGTCGCCTCGCCAGCGGTACGAAGCATTCGCCCGACCAGGGCACCACCAAAGATACGCAAGCCATTAAAGCGCGACGATAAAGGCCTTCCCATCCCCCATGTTAACATCATCGTTCGTGACACGCACGCCTCCCGTCTCCGGGACCATTACTACGACACAGTTCGCGACGATGTCATGTACATGACCTACAAGCACGAACCGGTTCGCAAGCCATTCCGCCAAATTCGACCCAAGTTCGACCCGAACGATCCTTACACAAAATTCCGTGACAACCCACCGGTTGGAGGGGACCAATACTTCAAAAGACCTCCGCCACCCGTCACGTCCGACAATGTTGTCGTCCTGGAGTGTATTCAGTTGCACACGATGGTTAAGGACGCGCTGAGCAGTCGAAGTAACCTTCTTGGACCTATTATGGCATTTCGTGCGCTGTCGGGTGAATCTGAACGTGCTGGAAACCAACGCACAGTAGAGGGCGTGCAAATTGTCCGAGGAAAGAAGAACATTGGCGGTTGGGTACGGCCAGGACAGCCTGTTGGTGTAAAAGTCGACCTGAAAGGCCCGAAGATGTATGATTTCCTGGGAACGCTCGTCGAGTTTGTCTTTCCCCGGCTGCGCGAGTTCCCTGGGCTCCTCATGCCGGGTTCGTCTACTCAACTTACCACTCCCAGCGCTGCGTCCGGCGTAGTCTCGTTCGGTCTGCCTCCAGAAGCAATGTCGCTCTTCCCTCAAATAGAAGTGAATCTGGATGCATATCCAAAATCCTACGGCATGCACATCCATTTCATCACGAACGCTACAGGAGCCGGTGCTCAGAATCGTGCGCGAGTGCTTTTGTCTGGATTCCAGGTACCGTTTGCTCGGAAATGATGGTGAGATTTTGTGCTACTAGCTGGTAACGACACTTATCCGCGTGGCCATAGCACCTGCAAGTGCACCTTCAGCAAGCTCGAAGTGGTATGCTTGCTCATTGGTTCGTCAAGAACTATTGAATGGGTCTGAACCCGTTTCCTCGCGCAGTACGAGGGTCGTCGTGTCTAGGATGTAGCTTGAGATCTGCTTGTTGCGTTAGCTCAGAGGTGCTTAGAATTTGGTTAATGACATAATTTTTTGAAGCTACAAGTTGTGTATGGCAACCTATTCCACATGCTAGTTTGACTTAGGGCATGCAATCCGCACAGGTACTCATTGGGGTGTATCATGCGCAAGTGCGATCACACGTGAGCATAGCGCCGTCTCACCGTCAGACTCGCGGCCGCTCGCCGACTCCCGCACGCTCCTTGTTCTCACATCTCATCTGTGCACATCGTCTCTCGTGATATGAGTTTTCAGGATATTGAAACCGGTCTTGTACAACGGTCGCACACGCCAAATGGCGTACCACAGTCTCAAGAGGAGGCTGCATTTCTCAGTCTGCAATCGTCGCTCTCACTCCAGGTGTTCAAGATCAATTCTAATGTGCAAGGCATTCTTAAGCTCGTAGATCAGCTTGGTACGAGCCGGGACTCTGTGACGCTCAGGAAATCTCTGTATGTGCACAAGTTAGCGTTGATGTAAGTGAAAGTTGATGCTAACGGCCTGAGCGCAGCCATGATTTGACCGAGGTAACGCGTGCCATGGCAAAGCGCGGATCAGACGACCTGAAGAAACTAGCCGCATTGCAAGCTCCTTTGGTATGCTCGGGATATCGATCTTATACCGTGGTCAACTGACGGAGTGTCCTGTGAAGCCACGGCATAAGACATCGTTGCAAAAGACCTCTCATGACTTTCAACTTTCCCTCGTCGCATTCCAGCGCGCGCAGCAAGTCAGTGCAGAGAGACAACGTACCGTGGTTCAGGGTGTAAAGATTGCCGTTGAAGAGGAAGCAGCACCGTGAGTATCGCATTCACGAATCCTGGCTGTTTTGACCTTTCGTAAATCCACAGCGAGGAACGACCTTCGAGCCCCAGCCCCTCTCAGCGGCAGGCACAGATTTTGCAAAATCAGCTCTCGCCACAGGAATTAGTTTTTCAGGAATCGCTTATTCAAGAACGGGAGGCGGAGATCCGGGAGATTGAGACAGGCATCCATGAGCTCTCGGAAATCTTCCGTGATTTGGGCACTCTCGTTCAAGAACAGGGTGGCATGCTCGGTCAGCTGGCATTCCCACACCATAATCTTACAGACCAACTGACATGTCCTAGATAACATTGAGTCAAACATATCATCTATTGCTGTTGACACTGCCGGTGCTGCGGAAGAGCTGAGCACTGCGCACGAATATCAGAGGAAAGCGGGGCGACGTGCACTGTGTCTGATGATGGTGCTTGTCGTCGTTGTTGCTGTAGTTCTCCTGGCAGTGCGTATTCTCCTCATTGCTGCTCGATGTGCGACTGGTGTACCGATGCTTTGTTGAATTTCGCACAGATATTGTCATGATGAGCAGTCCGGTGGATCTGGACTTGCTGTGGCCTTCTCCCTTGCTTCACAGCCTTATCTTTTTATGTTATATGTTTATACTCTAGATATCGTATGGCACTGATACCTACTACAATGGACTTGTTGTAATGTGATCTGATGTGAATGGTCGATGCTCCATCCCGAGGAAGAACTCTCACTGCCCCACGGTCTCTGCAAGCCTGGCGCAGTTTGCTGCGTCGTCGCGTCGCGCAGTCTAACTCGAGGACAATCTAAGTAAGACAATGCGTCCGCGGCAAATGCCGACAACCAGGCCAAGCGAAGTCGCGCGGATTGGGACAGCTCTCGAATACCACAGCAGTTACGTCCGTCGTCCTTTCGTCGTCTACCACTCTCTGCGCCTGAGGCTGACTCAACTCCGGACGCTGACGTCCGGGGAGAGCTTAAATGCTCTCTGACACGCAACGGTCCACTCTTTTCACCCTGCTTTCCTTCAGACACCAACTATGACTTCTCCGAACAAATCGTCTTCAGGCATGAGTTCCAACAAACTCCTTCGTGCCTATGTTCGTGTGTCAAGCTGCTTTTGGGATAAGTACACGTAATAACGCGGTCCTTGAATAGCAATTAGGAGATTCGCTAGGGAAGGGCGCGTTCGGACAAGTCTATCGTACGTCCAGGCCGCATGGTACGTGTGGAAGTCTCTCATCTTTGTATCTCAGGCGCCCTCAACTGGGCGACCGGTGAGACCGTGGCGATTAAGGAGATCCAGTTAAGCAATATTCCAAAGGGTGAAATCGGACAGATCATGGTGAGCGGCCCCGTGTACAGGATCAGTATGAGCTAATCCAACGAACGCGTTCCAGTCTGAGATTGACCTGCTAAAGAACTTGAATGTATGTTATATACATGCCGAATACTTCCTGACTTTTATCTGAATTGTACCCAGCATCCGAACATCGTCAAATATAAAGGCTTCGAGAAGACGCCGGAGTATCTGTACATAATCCTAGAGTAGGTAACTCATTTCCGTCTTTTCCAATGATGCTTATGTCAGTTCAGATTCTGTGAGAATGGTTCTTTGCACAATATTTGCAAACGCTTTGGGAAGTTTCCCGAAACCCTCGTTGGTGTATACATATCGCAGGTTCTGGAAGGCCTGATGTACCTCCATGACCAGGGTGTGATACATCGGGATATTAAAGGCGCCAATATACTCACTAACAAGGACGGCTGCGTCAAACTGGCGGACTTCGGTGTAGCTAGTCGTACAGCCGCGGGTGCGGTCCGCGACGACGCAGTTGTTGGTAGCCCGTACTGGAGTAAGTGGCTGACTCTACCTTGACAAGTGAAGTGCATATATTGACGTTGCATCCTTAGTGGCGCCCGAGGTAATCGAGCAATCTGGAGCAACGACGGCATCAGACATCTGGTCAGTTATCGGTTAACTCGATGCACATATCGCTTACCGCACTCCTCTGTCTGCTCTAGGAGTGTAGGCTGTACGGTGATTGAGCTTCTTGAAGGGAAACCACCGTACCATTTTCTGGATCCTATGCCCGCGCTTTTTAGGATCGTCCAAGACGACTGTCCACCCATTCCCGAGGGTGCCTCGCCGATCGTGAAGGACTTTCTGTATCACTGCTTTCAGAAAGACTGCAATCTTCGTATATCTGCTAAGAAGCTACTGCGACATCCATGGATGGTGGCGGCGCGGAAGCAGATGGCTGGTAACCAGGCTAGTCGAGGAGGCGGTGACAATAAGGGCGATGCTACGGAGAGAAGACCCCCAAGTAATTACAATTTCGATGAAGCGGTCTTGAAAGTTCAAGAATGGAACGAAGCATTGAAGTGTATGTTTATTTCATCACCAGCTCATGCTAGTCTTGACACGTTTCTAGCTCCTTCACGGCCTTCTCGACATCCGGAACGACGCAGAACGTCTGCCACAGATGGTCCGCCACATTCTCCTACGGCACCTCCGGCACATATGCCAACCTCACTGCAGCCTATCGCATCGAATAGTGCCCCCAATCAATCATCTGTAATGTATGGGGTGCGCAAGCCCGTGCCTTTACATCCCAGTAAAGGTTCTGTGGCTGCTCCTCCACTGGGCCATATACGAGAAGCACTACCCATGCCGTTCATTCTACAAGTCCCAGAAGAGCAAACGGATAATTGGGATGATGATTTTGAGGAAGGAATTTCCTTGACGAAAATACAAGGTATCAGTCAATTTACTCATCTTGTTGTCGACTTGATTTCATAGTGTGATCAGCTCTGGAGAAGACATCTGCGGAAGAAGAGAAGGTCGAGATAGATGACAACGCTCAGACAATTCGTCCAACTCGCAGCCCTCCGGGACCGGGGACCGCCATCTCCCTTCCTCTCGTAGCCCTTCCTGAACCAGTTGTTTCGCCAGGTGTCGAGGACTACTCAGATATCATGTTTGAAGATGATGATGATAAATTAGAAGCAAAGGTCGCGGACTTCAAGGTAAATACGGAAAACAATGATACACTGAGGCTGATTCATCTTCATTTTGCTAGATGAAAAACTCTGTTCGTCGTGGCCTTTTCCATCCCGATGATATCAAAACCATTGGTGTTCAACCTCCATCACCTGGCCCAATGACAGCGCCATTACCTTCTGTTTCTCATCACCGCTCTCGCCCATCCCTGAGCCCTATTGCACCTCTTTCAGCAGCGATCTCTCCGAGCGCAGTTTCTACTCGTACGCATGCACGAACGTCGTCTTTTGGGGGACCAAGTAGCGGTTCCTTCGGGCGAGCAGATTCTCGTCGATTCCCCAGCCAGCCCGAGTTCGGAAAGTATGCAGAAGACGATGACGAGGATTACGACGATATATTCGGGAAAGCAAACGGGACTAGTGAGTGAGGCGGTTGCGACTTGAGAACCTGCCAGCTAAGAAATTACCAAGCCTCACATCCCATACAGACGCTTCAATTAAACACTCGTCTTTCGAATAAATCTTGGGTGAGTGAAGTTGGATCCATAGCATCCTGAGATCTCATCCTTTCTTACTAGCGGGGAGATGAAGATGATGACGAGGATCCTTTTGCTGAGGTCTGTCATGTTGCGTTTCGTCTTCACCGAAATCTCATTGAGAATGTTACCCTTCAGATTGACGAGGGCTTTGCAGAGGAAGATCTGGAGTCTAACTTACAGCGTGACAAATATGCGCGCTTGTCTAATGCGGTAACACAGCTCATAGATGAGCTGACTCCATCTGCTCCGGACTTCCAGCTTCGAGATGCTTGTGATCAGCTTGTATGGAGTTTTTCCTAGTTTAGTACCAGAACGTATGCTGAAGGCTGTTTTAAGCTTGCTATCATGATGGACACACCGGAGATGCAAACGCAGCTGGTCTCTGCGCACGGAATGTTGGCCATCCTGGAGGTCTTAGAGGGCAGATCTTCGAGGGATGTAACCCTGAAGCTGTTACAAATCGTCAATGCGGTAGTGTATATCCCAGGTATCGTGTTGTTGACCTTGTTGATCACTAGATTTTTAGCTTGTTACCGCTGATATGGGTTTCCTGGAGAGTTTCTGTTTAATCGGGTGGGTAGGATTTATATTGAAGAGATTATGTTTCGTGCTGAACAATATTGCTTGATAGGGGAATTCCCGTTATTATGGGTGGGTCTATCTCGTGATATTTGGGGCCGTGGTCGTCGCTAATCCAAACGTAAGGCTTCACGTCAAAGAAATATCCACCAGAATGTCGGACGGAGGCATCACACTTTATACGCTTGTTGTGCCATTCATCTGTTCTGACCCTCCAGATGTTCATTGCGTGAGCTCGTTCAAACTCACGTGGAGGTGGCAGATGATAACGCATGGCCTTGCAGGTGCCGAGGTTTGAAGGTCCTGGTAGATCTTCTTGACGAAGATTTCACTGAACAGACAGACCTTGTCATACACGCACTAAATGGTATTTGTAGCGTGTTCGACCTACAGAGCCCGACGACGAAGAATGATTTCTGCCGTATGTTCATCCGAGAAGGGCTCCTAGATCCGCTGTCTTCCGCTCTCTTGAATGTCATGTCAAGTCGCGGAGAAGTTGCAGCGGATATGAATCGCAAGATCATCCAAATCCTGCTTGTATTTTGTCAGGTTTCGCAGTCAGACATTCACGTCCGAAATGCTCTAGGCACTCGAAAGGTTGTTCGACGTAAGCTGTGCACCATTTTCTTTCGAGGGCGGAAGTATCTAACGCCCAAATACCTGGATAGGCCTGCTGAGAGCGTGTGAACTCCTTGAACCGGAATACCTCGTGCACATGCTGAAGGCGGTCAAGCATTTGTCCATGAATGCAAACCTCCTGGAAGTTCTGCAGAATGCGAACGCCATCGAGATCTTAGTCAAGATATTGGATGAGCAGAGCTCAGGATTGTATGGCACGGTGGGAAACAGATTTCTCATGCGCTGCTGAGGCTGGGAACTGATCATAAGTTCGTCCACAGGAAATGTCCAATCACATTTTCCAGACATGCTATAATCTCTGCCGCCTGAACAAGACGAGACAAGAGGAAGCTGCTCAAGCTGGCATTATTCCTAGCCTCAAGCGGGTGATTGAGTCGAGTTCACCGTTGAAACAATTCGCACTGCCCATTCTTTGCGATCTTGCTAGTGCGGGGAAGAGCTGCAGAACTTTGTTGTGGCAGCACGATGGGCTATCATTGTATCTGCGACTGCTCGAAGACCCCTACTTCCAAGTCAGTGCGTTAGAGTCCGTCCTATCATGGTCAGTGCCAATATTGCAATTCGAGACTACGAGCTGAATTTGTTTGTAGGTTACAAGATGAGACAGCTAGGATCGAAGACCAACTGATGAAGCCAGATGCATTGGAGGCACTCCTGAAATGTTTCGTTTCTGCGAAGTCCAATTCGTTTGAGAACTTGCTCGATCCACTCCTTAAGATGTGCCGTCTCTCGACTGGAATTACCATCGGCATTGCTAAGTCACAATTCTTCAAGCGCATCATTGACAAGTTGGGCCACAGCAAGGCTGTGGTGCGGCTAAATTTGTTGCGAATACTGCGGACGGTTTGCGAGGCGCATCCGAATCGCGCGATGCTTGTGGAGCGCTTCGGGATTTACGATATCGTGGCGAAACTGAGCAGAGAGGATGGCGCTGTGCTCGTACGGGAGCTTGCCCGGGAAATTGTACCATCCCTTGCGCCCGCCCTGAAACCCATCTCGAGCAGAGCAGGGCGGCCACACCCGGACACGCCCAAGGGTGGAAAGAGCGCATTGGCGCCGAAGAAGATGCGGCGGGCTGCATCTGAATCGCTAACGAGCAGCCCTGTCGCAGTCATGGGCAGTGGACAAGTTCGGGCGACATCCCGTAGGACTGGCGGAATAGGGAGGCCTCCTGCGAGACAGAAGCTGAACGACATCTCGTGGCAGGCAGGGACAGAGCTGCGGTAAAGTGTATGGTATTGTACAGTAGTAATTATCCCTTGGGTTTCTGGTAACGTCTATCATCGCTATCTTCATATTGTCGCATCGCTCATTCTTCGCAATCTCTTATACGTCGCATTTGTCAGCTAGTACCACCCTGCGCGCCACAATGATATACACTGGCGTTTAATGAACTTCAGCATCCCGAAAGAGTGTGCTTCGTGAGCGTCTGCAGCCAGAGCAAGTCGCACACGGTCTGAAGCCGGGCTGCTGTGAACACAGGTGACTTCGGAGAGAAGAGAGCAAGCTGGACTTTTGAACAGCCAGGCGCTAAGCAGACAACGATCCGAGACGCTTCGATAACGCGCTATTCCGGCGCCGTCCGCCTCACAAGTCCAACAAACGCTTTGCGAACACTATTGTATTGTGTTCAGACGCCAACTCAGGTACGTAGAACTTGTGTTCTTCCGATTCACACGAGCAACACGATTCCGACCATTCTTTAATATTCATTACCGTCTTGCTATCTGTCGAGTAGTCGTCCGGCAGTGTACTAAATGCTGGAAGGCGTTACACACAGCCTACGAACAGACTGAGCAACACGAGATGCTTGAATCCAAAGTCGCTCAGGTGCTATACTGTATGGGCTATATATACAAATTAGAAGGAGCATGTCGGGGGAACGCGGACAGGTTCCAGCGACCCCGACACTGGCCGGATATCACATGGGGGAAATGATCGGGAAGCCACCATTGGACCTGGGCCGGAAGAGGAAGGAGAAGGAACGGCGAGCTCTCGACTTGTTCTCCCCGGCCGGCCCTGCCCGCCCTTCACTCGGGCCTTGATGTCGCATCTGCACACAGGAGTACCGCTGAGCACGTCGCCATGTACATTTCGAATACCCAACGGCCATATATAAGGCCACCCGCAATGCCATGATCGCTCCATTCCCATCCCAATCTAACACAATTGGACTTCTTCAAAAACCATTTCGGCTCTCGTTGCACATTATGTTCAGAAGATTTGCCACTCGTCCTCTCACTCGCAACCTTGCTAGCCCCTCGAACACCCGTGGTGTGAAGGTAAAAGCAATACTACGTCTTCTGTACCAAGCTTAATATTCACAACGCTCGTTAGGTCCTAGCCATCCTCTACCGTGGCGGTGAGGCTGCAAAACAAGAGTCCCGTCTGCTTGGTACGGTGGAAAATGAACTCGGATTGCGCTCCTGGTTGGAGTCCCAAGGCCATGAGTTCATCGTAAGCCGTCATGATTATATTGGAAGCTGCCCTCTTTATTTAGTTGGCATAGGTCTCCGACAGCAAAGAGGGTCCAGACAGCGACCTCCAGAAACACATCACTGATGCTGAGATCGTCATCACAACTCCCTTTCACCCGGGATACATCACTCGTGACCTCATCAGCAAGGTATGCTTCGAATCACGTAGATCTTTCTGTCTTTGACTAACATATAATTTCTTCAAGGCTAAGAACCTCAAAGCCTGTGTCACAGCTGGTGTTGGCTCAGATCACGTCGACCTGAATGCTGCTGTAGAGCGCGAGATCCAGGTGCTCGAGGTGACGGGCTCGAACGTGACTTCCGTCGCGGAGCATGTCGTGATGAGTATTCTGCTCCTCGTGCGCAACTTCGTACCTGCCCATGAGATGATCGAGCGCGGAGATTGGACTGTATCTGATGTTGCGCGCAATGCGTACGATCTTGAGGGCAAAGTTGTCGGCACGATCGGCGCTGGCCGTATCGGCTACCGTGTCTTGGAGCGATTATTGCCCTTCGGCACGAAGGAGCATCTCTACTACGACTATGCACCTTTGCCAGCCGGTAAGTTGTTGCATTGTGACAGTGAAGAAGCACGGTGCTCATCGCTTGTACAGATGCGGAGAAGGCGGTGAATGCCCGCCGTGTCGAGGATCTTAAAGAGTTGGTCTCGCAGTGTGACATCGTTACTGTCAACTGTCCACTCCACGAAGGTACCAAGGGTCTCATAAATGCCGAGGTACTCAAGCACTTCAAGAAGGTACATCTATGCATTTACTCGAAGTTCGACTCACTTATATTCTCTTCCGTAGGGAGCCTGGCTCGTGAACACTGCTCGTGGAGCAATTTGCGACAAGGATGCCGTTGCAGAGGCTCTGCGCACCGGTCACCTCCGTGGATACGCAGGTGATGTCTGGAACGTGCAGCCTGCGCCGCGTGATCACGTCTGGCGCACGATGAAGAACCCGCTCGGTGGTGGAAACGGTATGGTCCCGCACTATTCGGGCACAACGCTCGACGCGCAGGCCCGCTACGCCAAGGGCACGCGTGAGATCCTCGAGAACTACTTCTCGGGCAGGCCCCAAAAACCGGCCGATGTAATTGTCGGTCTCGGCAAGTACGAGACGAAGGCGTATGGCCAGCGATGAGAGTATGACCAGGCTCTTGTTGTCTAAGAGGTATCTCGAGGAAAAGGTGTTCCTAAGGGCTCTGTGAATGCATCATCATCATATAGAATATGTAATATAGTGATATTAATTTACAAAGCACGGACATTTTGGGTGTCCAATATTCAATATGCGACAAGGTGAATGACCCAATGTAATGTATACACAGCGTTAATTGATCGTCATGAGGATCTTTTTTGCATACCAACTCGCCTTGAACGCTGCCACTTTGACACTACTTGGGGAAATGGTCATTCCTTTTGTTGTATACAAGCATGCGGCCATTTCTTCCGTTATAAAAGTTTAAAGCAGGCTTGACAAAAAGTGAAACACCTACGATGTGTGTCAACTCGACGCATTCAGACACCCGGAATTAAATGTGGCTGATATCGGTGACACGATCACCTGACTGACGCGTTCCGTGACCGCGTGGCCGGAGAAAGCGATGAAGTTGAATGTTGAACTTGAGCGTAAGTTGTGCCGGCTCTCTCGTATCTGCCTTGCCTCTTCGTCATGACTTCTGTGAGTGCTATCGCTCGCCAATTGAATGCCCTCGAAATATCCTCGAAGCAAAATACCACGCGACCCACGCATCAGAAGAAACCAAGCCAAGGAAGCAATAATGTCGCAAAGCTCTTGACGAAATTCGCTGCTCCCAATCCTTTTCCATCTAGTGCGACGGTACCAAAGAGTACCTCATCAAGCTCTCTCAAGAATAAACAACAGCCACCGCAGCAACGATCCCAAGAAGAGCAGTCACAATCAGAATCTCGAGCGCCCTCGCCTCCGAAAGGCCTCGCACAGCCGACCTTCGACATCGGGCGATACGATGGCGGCTTTGAGATTGACAATGAGAGTCGTGGAGAACGAGTGTATGGTCAAGCGGCAGAGGATCTTGCTCTAGACTCGAGTGTATGTGGGTGAGTGGCATATCTATCTTGCCTGGGACACGTCTGATGCCCGACTAGGATTCGCCCCACTCGCGAGTGGCATCTCACGGACTTTGACATAGGACGCCCACTTGGAAAGGGCAAATTCGGGCGCGTATACATGGTTCGCACGAAATGTGCACCACATTATATTCTCGCCCTCAAGTGTCTATATAAATCCGAGATCGTGCAGTCGCGAGTTGAGAAGCAGATCCGGCGCGAGATCGAAATCCAACAGAACCTCCGACACCCAAATGTCCTGCGACTGTATGGCTACTTCCACGACGAGAAGCGCATCTTCCTCATGCTCGAGTTCGCGGGCAAGGGGGAGCTGTACAAGCAGCTGACGAAGCACGGATGTTTTACCGAGAAACGTAGCTCTCGTTATGTCGACCAAATGGCCGATGCGCTAAACTATCTTCACGCAAAACACGTTATTCATCGCGACATCAAGCCGGAAAATCTTCTCTTAGGCATCAATGGCGAGTTGAAGATCGGTGATTTTGGATGGAGTGTTCATGCACCTGGAAATCGGAGAACAACGCTGTGCGGGACGCTTGATTATCTCCCACCGGAGATGGTGGAAGGTCGAGATCACTCAGAGAAGGTCGATTATTGGGCATTAGGGGTGCTCACATACGAATTCATCTGTGGCGCGCCACCATTCGAAGATTTAACTGGTTACAATGGTGAGCTCGCATTAATCAGTGACAATTTGCGTCTTAATGCACCGTTAGCTACGTACAAGCGCATCGCAAAAGTCGACCTTAAGATTCCTTCAAAAGTGTCACCAGAGGCACGGGATCTCATTACCAAAGCATGTATCTGTGGCGTTTCAGCGGTATGCATAACGCTGATCGACGTCTCGCAGCTCCTCCAATACGATCCGGACAAACGCCTGCCATTGGATGACGTACGGGTACATCCTTGGATCGTGAAGTACAGGTCAAAAGGACCGTCGACGTCGATGCCTAACAATTGAGCTAAGAAGCTGCCATTGTGAGGATGTTCTCTTTGCATATTTGTCCCCTGCATATCGCGTTTCTTGGATTTCGCAATCGATTGTTAATGTCGCCCTGTTGACGGGAGGTTGGCAGAGCAGTGTAAAAGGCTGGAAGGAAATTTGGTAAACGGAGCAAGTGTTGGAGGGGTAGTCGACATAGCCGCCTCAATGTACCTCGCTGTCTTGAAGTGCGGCTGTATATATGACTCCGAATTTGGGTGTACAATGCTGGCGTCGTTACGATGATTCCTGCGCTACAACCGGACTCAGCTCAATTCGTTTGCCAGTCTCCTTCGACTTCCAGCACGACTTACGATTTGAATCGTCGGCCCGGAATCATTCCAACCCCAGAGGTATCATCTATGCGAGGATTTTAGGATACGCAGGCCTGGAAAAGCCTCCGGACGATGCCTGTATGACTGTAGCTTGTGATGTTTCGCCACGAAGATGAAGATATCCTGGCTGCTGCTGGGAAGATGTACTTGCGACTAATACATTCGTTCATGTAAGTGTTCGTTGCTGATTCCTTTCACGTTCACATTGAATAACAGGCTGCAATCAAGAAGTATTCGGACCGCTCCTGCCCCATCCTTCTCAGCCTTCTTTTGGCGTGAGCAAAGAGATGATATAGAATATACTAGAGGTGCCTTCTCTGAGTCATACAAGCAAGTCAAGACGGAAGAAGGTTCATTTGCCTCAATTAAATTTTGTAGCTCGCAGGCGATCAGTGCGTGGTTTCAAGGCCTTGATCAGAGACAGCTTAGTCTGTAGTGTAACTATGGTTTGCGCGCCAATTTCAATCTATGATTGCATGGCCACCCACATCTCGCAGATAAGAGCTCCTTTGCTCGTCTGCTCCATCAACTTGACACTGAGTGCACAAGACAAGTCTCAGTATCTTTGTGCCATGCAGCCTCTGGACTCCTACGTCATCAATTTCTGGCTCGTCTTTGGCCTGCTTGTGTATATACTATCTGGCAGCATAAGAAAGTACTAGCATTCGAAATTTGAGGCCAGAGAGAGTGGATGGGGTTCTGCAAACAAGTTGCAGAACCAGGGACTTGGAGCCATGTGCTGTGTATGCATATTGTTGTCAGGATATCAGTGCTGTTTGATGAGAATTGGCTGAGCTCTCTTCATCCTCAGGTTTGCTCTAGATTCTTTGTGTTGAGGACTTGGATTCTATGAGCAATGTGATGTTCTCACATTGTTCTGTTCTAAAAGATTGCCACTGAGCAGTGATGGACATAACATTAGACATGTTGTCTTGCATCTTATATATACTGCACCAGCAAAACAGTCAAAAAATGTTATACCCTTGTGTCATTGATTCAGATAGCCCAATATGGTGAGGGTTGATAATACTTGATATGCTATATGTATGGGCTATACAAATTGATTATACCTGATATTTGCAATTGGTCAAAGGTTTAATCTGGGTTTGATATCAAATTATCTCATTTGCATCTGAGGTGGATTGGAATGAGTTTGAGACATGTATATAAAAACAATGCTCATAGACATATATTTTCCATAATAATCATGTGTATCTAATATGATAAAAATGATAAAACATAATTGAACTTGGATCACCACATACAGTGTTTTGGTGGTCCTTGGGACACCAGTTTGCATGTTTCATTTTATGTGCCCCACACTTCAAACTTACACCAAATTTGTGTACAGGGGTTTTGTGAAGTGCCTTCAAGTCCTTTATGAATTTTAGGGGAATAAAACCTGCAATGTGTTGAAAAATAAATATGCAAAAACCTTACCTGTGTTGACTAGACACAAGGCAAGTAAGAAGGCTAAAGAGTTGTCTTATAAGTCTGTGAAGACTCTGTCAAGGTATCGTCCTTGACTCTACTCTAAACCCTAACCCCAACACTCACTTGTGGTGTTCTGGTGGTTGCAAGAGATAAACTTTTGAAGAGTTGATCTTGAGAGTGGTTAACTCAGAGAATGAGTAGAGTGAAGTAGATGACAGTAGACTGATAATAAGATCAGACTGCCGTACTACACTGTATTGTTCTGGTATTTTATACATGTGGGACCAGACCCCGAATACTACTGGTAGTACACCTAACACCTATGATGACTGATGCTCACAATATGCCATTGGCTATCTAAGAATACCTAGCACATAAACCATCGTCCTGTT